CCCCCCATAAACCCTCAGTTTGTTCTCAGTTTTTAACAGTCTCTAAGAGACTTTTAAAGGATGGTCTAATTTTTGCTGAGGTAAATTCATTACAAAGAGTGAATAAACATTATTTGGATATTTTAAAACCACAGAGTTTAAATATCATTATTAATATACATGATTAACAACATCCATAGCAATGCTGATTTAATCCTCTCTGTATAAATACCTTTACAAACTCTTCTGCTAAAAACCAGAGAGTGAGTTAGGGAAATAGTTCTGTGGCTAAAGCTTTTATATTTTATTCACATATACCATTAACTTATTTTATGTGTTTTAATGTTTGTTTATTTTTGAGAGAAAGTGCATGAGTAGGGGACGGGCAGAGAGAGGAGGGGACAGAGGATCCTAAATGGCTCTGAGCTGACAGCTGACAGTAGGACTCGAACCCATGAACTGTGGGATCATGACCTCAGCCAAAGTCGGACGCTCAACCAACTGAGCCACCCAGGTGCTGCTAACTTTATTTTTAAGTTCCATCACAGGCCTACAGTAGTTGAAACAAGCTCAAGTAGTCATGTTGCAATTTTATTATACTTTCTCTATTCACAAAAAGCATCTTCTGTTTCATCTCCTTTGATATTATCTTCCTGGATTTACTTAGTAATGACTTACTGACACTGATGACTAATTTGACACTTTTTATTCCTACCAATCTTGTTTTGAGGTGGAGGTGAACTTGGCAGAACTCTGAATTTAATTATGGCTAATGATTGGGTCATCAATAACGTCTAACGATGGTGCATCCAAATTCAAGGAAATATAGTTTCAATGGTAGAATTTTTCGTTTGGGTGGGGGAGAACAGCTTTACTGAGATAAAATTTACATATAATTCACAATTCAGTGGTTTTCAGTATATTAATGAGTTGGGCTATAATCACCACAATTTTAGAATATTTTCATTACTCCCAAAAGAAACCCTGGATCTATTAACAATCACTCTCGATTCACCCTATCTCCATTCCCTGGCAACTACTAATCTACTTTCTGTCTCTATGGATTTGCCTATTTTGGACATCTCATGTAAGTCATACGACATATGACTTTTTATGTCTGGCTTATTTAATTTAGCATATTGTTTTCAAGGTTCATCCATGTCGCAGCATGTATCAATCTTTCATTCCTTTTACCTACTTGTGGCCAAATAATAATCCATTGTATGGATATATCACATTTTATTTATTCCTTTATCAGCTGATAGACTGTTTCTAGTTTCTGGCTATTACAAATAATGCTGCTATGTACGTTTGTACACAAGTTTCTGTGTGAATATTATGTCTTCAAGTATTTTGGCTATATAGCTAGGGATGAACTACTAGGCCATATGATAATGCTGTATTTAACCCTTTGAAGAACTGTCAGACTGTTTTCCACAGAGTTTGCATCATCTTACATTTCCAACACAGGCAGTATATAAGGGTTCCAATTTCTCAAAATGCTCATCAACACTAGGTATTATCTGTCTTTTTTATTATAGCCATCACTATAGGTCTGGAGACGTATCTCAATTTGGTTTTGATTTGGATTTCCCTGATGACTAATGATATTGAGCATGTTTTCATATGTTTCTTGGACATTTGTATATCTTCCTTGGAGAAATGTCCATTCAGATCCTTTGTTCAGTTTTTTTTTTAATTTTTTTTTTTTTCCAACGTTTATTTATTTTTGGGACAGAGAGAGACAGAGCATGAACGGGGGAGGGGCAGAGAGAGAGGGAGACACAGAATCGGAAACAGGCTCCAGGCTCTGAGCCATCCGCCCAGAGCCTGACGCGGGGCTCGAACTCACGGACCGCGAGATCGTGACCTGGCTGAAGTCGGACGCTTAACCGACTGCGCCACCCAGGCGCCCCATGTTCAGTTTTTAATTGGGTCATTTGTCTGTTTCTTATTGCATTGTACACTTCTAGATACAAGTCCCTTATCAGATACACAATCTACAAATATTTTCTCGCCCTGAATGTGTTGTCCTTTTCCTTTCTTGATGGTATCTTTTGAAGCACAGAATCTATTTTTGAAGCTTTGTAATAAAATTATTTGATAAAGTCACTAAGAGCTGAAAAGACCCACTTACACTTTAATGTGGGGAAAATTACCTGCTATCATGGTAAATGTAACATTTGGAGATGGTTAATATGATATTGGGGACAGAATCTCTTCTTGAAAGCCAAGGTTTATTGTACAAAAATAGGAGTAAAAGTTAATTATGAGAGATAAAACTGTAAGCAAAGAAAGTAGAATAGGCAATGCTTAAATAGCTTGATTGGGTGGGTAGGAAAGGCAAAATAGTAATGCTAAAGAATAAGGCAACATGGAGACAAAATGTGAATAAACAGGGAGCTACCTAGAGGATACTTTGGAAAACCAAGGATTCATGAAGAAGCCTGTTTCTTTAGAATTATTAGGAAAGTGTGAAACATAGTAAGTTATAATTCTGACAGGTAATATAATACAATGGCATTACAAACCTGTGTCAGTTATTTCTAATAATGTAATCCTTGTGATTAATAAGTATTTTAAAAAGAAATACATAAGCATTGGTCAGGTTTGAATTCCTGGCAGACATCTTGGATCTAGGTTGAAATCAGTTTAAACTCTAAATCTCTGGTAGGTTCCTAAAACCAGTAAGAATCACAAAGGTACACTAGATAACAGTAAAAAGGAATTCTCCTTAAAGGTTATTTATGTAAGTCAATTGGACTAATCCATTCTCAAACTAGTTTGGCTATTTTCATCTAGAGGCTATGAAATGAATCAAAACCTAATACCAGAGAATAAAAAAAGATAAGGCTCTGTTATACAGTACATGACACGAAGGCAAAGAATTTTCAACACTAACATGCAGTCTCAAGAAAACAGCTTATGTATCCAAAACATACCTTCCACTCTGAAGCTGGATATGAAGGGTGGTGAATGGTTCTGTGCGAATAAGATAGTGCATAACCCCAGCAGAATTTGAATAGTGAGTACCATAATGAAATTTATCAATAGTTCCCATAGGATCCTCAAAATTTTCATATCTAAAAAAATAAACTAAAGTTTTGTAACCACAACAGTAAAATTACATTAGGAGGACATTAAGGTTGTATTGCATTGTTAGAAACATAGTTTTTAAAAAGTCCTTATTAATATTATTCATTATGTATGTATTCATATCATCACACCATGTTAATAAATAAAAAAATTTTATCCATTGATACTTCTTTCTGAACATAGTATCACTAATAACTGGATTCTGAAACAGTCTCATACGATAATACATATTTACTATAGATAGATCAGAAAACACACACACACACACACACACACACACACACACACAAAGGGGCGCCTCGGTGGCTTAGTTGGTTGAGCATACAACTTTGGCTCAGATCATGATCTCACCATTCATGGGTTCAAGCCCTGAGCCAGGCTCTGTCCTGACAGCTCAGAGCCTGGAGTCTGCTTTGGATTCTGTGTCTCCCTCTCACTCTCTGCCCCTCCCCCACATGTGCTATCTCTCTCTCTCTCAAAAATAAACATTAAAAAAAGTTAAAAAAAAAAAAAAAGACAGAAAGAAAACACAGAGAACCAAAAAAGGAGAAACTTAAAATCAACCACAGAGGTAACATTAACATTTTAAAAAAATATTAATTTATTTTGAGAGAGAGTAGGAATGCATGCAAAAGTTGAGGAGGGGGCAGAGAGAGAGAGAGGGAGAGAGAGAATCCCAAGTAGGCTCCTTGCTGGCAGGGGTCAATTCCACAAACTGTGAGATTGTGACTTGAGCAGAAATCAAGAGTCAGATGCTTAACCAACTGAGCCCCCCATATCCCCCCAACATTAACATTTTGATGAATATTTGCCACCCTTAATGTGTAAGTTAATACACAAATATATTTCAGTATAAAAGTGCTATACATAATATATTGTTCATAACCTAGGCTTTCATTTTCTATTTATGTCTTTCCAAGTAACTGAATAATCTATTTTAATAGGCACGTGGTATTTATAACAGTGACATATATGAATGTATGACAATTTAACTATTTCTTTACTTTTAGATATTAAGGACTGTTTCTATTTTTCTGCTGTTGTAAGCAATGTGATAATGAGACATCCCTTTGTGGCCAAGGTAATGGAAGAAAAATATGGAGGATCAGTCAAGAATTGTGAAAATGAATGCTTAACAATTAAAGGTAAGAGAAGAAGGTAGAAAAGAAAGGAAGATTATGGGTAGGAAGACGACCTAACCCAGAAAATAAACAAAGGATATATATAGTGATTCTGTAAGTACTACCAGTGTGTAATCGTTTTTGAATGGTGGTTTGAATAGTAACATCTGAATTAGTGGGTATAAAATCTGAATAAGAATGAAGTTTTTTAGAGGAAATAAACATTAAACTTTCAAACCAAAATAGTAATTAATTCATCAAGCTGAGGCCAATTTCCTGTTACACAGTAATCAATATTCAAGGGAATAAAAGTTTTCAGGTCAAAGTCATCTGTACCAATGCAAAAACATATACCACTGAAATGTATTTAATTAAATTAATTAATTAATTAATTTATTTTTAAAGTAGGCTTCATGCCCAGCAAGGAGCACAATGTGGGGCTTGAACTCACAACCCTGATATCAAGACCCGAACTGAGATCAAACGTCAAACACTTAACTGACTGAGCCACCCAGATGCCCCAACTGTTGAAATTTAAAACAATTATTTCCTTTTGAACAGTGTTAAAAAACAAACAAATAAACCTTGTTCTTTTGTTATTGTCAGAAAAACTTTGAGGCAACACATGGCAGAATTCTACTAGTATATCAGATCAAATATTAAACACTGCAAAAAGTCCTAAGGTAGATTTGCAAATAAAAGAAAAAAAATGTACAATCTACTCTCAAATAAATCTATTTTGCTTGCAAAACAGTTTTTGCCCTTATTATTAGAAGTCATAACTGACAAGTCATCCACAATTTCACGTGGAGAAAAAGGGAAATTAAAATCAGACTATTCTTTCACTTGTCAGCAACTTGCTTTGAAAAAAAACGTGAGACATTTACAGGGTCAATTGTAAACATACAGAATTATAAAAATTCCTTTCCTAATTAAAATAGTAACTTTCTACACATTTCACTATTCTTTATTCACATTATTTGTAAATAATAGTGTTAATTTTGTATCTACAAAAATGTTATATTAAGTGGGTATTTTTTTTGCTGGATTTTTAAAAAAGTTTAATTATTTTGAGACAGAGAGAAGAGAGAGAACACACAGGAGCGGCAGAGAGAGACGAGGGGAGAGATACAGAGAATCCTAAGCCATGGGGCTCAAACCCACAAACCACGAGATCATGACCTGAGCCAAAGTCAAGAGTCAGTTGCTCAACCGACTGTGCCACCCAGGTGCCCCTTAAGTGTGTTTTTGCATGTTAGAGAATTATTAAGTCTAAAATACCTGGGAAGAAAAATTATCTTTCGGCACATACATATGACAAGGTGAAAGAAATTCTAAACAATATCAACTTAAATTTGGTAAAAAAGGGAAACAAACAGCCTATATATATTTAAGATACTTGAGGGACAAGAGATATATTTTCAAAACATCATGAAGGGATTATCAGACTCTGATTATCAAAAGTAGTTGTGCATTTAAAAAAAGTAACACTTGATTGGCCATAAGAGAAATCAATACAAATTCAAAAACACCATAAAAAATGATGGGTATCTTTTTTTTTTTTGACAGAGAGAGACAAAGGGAGGGCAAGGGAGACAGAAAATCTTAAGCAGACTCCACGCCCAGTGCGTGGCTCCACGCAGGGCTCAATCTCATGATTCATGACCTGAACCAAAATCAAGAGTTGGATGCTTAACCAGCTGAGCCACCCAGGTGCACGTGATGGGTGTCTTTCAAAAGGGATAAAAGACACTTACTTTTCTCGCATGGCTTTGGCATTTTTATCATTAACTACTCCAATTGGTTTGGAAAGATCTCGAAATACAGATGGATTATTAAGGTCCAACTCTTCCGAGGTATAATCTTGTAAAATCCAGGGAAACTAAAAGAGCCACAATTTACAATTCAGACATTCCTTACCAGAGAAGCTACTATCCCCATATATAATATCAAATGCTTATTTAAGACAAAAAGGGATAGTCTTTAGAAATATTTTCCTTGTTGCAAATGTTTATTCAGCTTCAGTTCCATAACCAGAAGCATTACTTCCTATAATTCCACTGGAATATTTTTAGTGAAGTGAAAAAAAAGCTTTAATTATTTAATTATTCTTTGTGTTTATAATCTTTCTGAAAATAGCAAGGGAGAAAATATACACAAAGGCAAAAACAGTTTTTATGTTTTGAAAGATGAAAAATAACCATAATACACACATACATTTCTATGTATTATAGAACTGAAAGGCTATTCCATATGTATGAGATTTCTATAAAACTTACCACTGGATACTGTGCAAGGTCATTATATGTTCGTCCTGCCATTGTATTTATTTGAATGAGGTAGTCAAAATTTGTTATCTCTCTGTTCACCCATTTCTAGACAGCACAAAAAAAGAACAAAATCAAAATTAATCTATATCTCTTCGAAGTTTGTATTGCTGATAGTACTAAGGTAATCTTTTTTTTTTTAATGTTTATTTATTTTTAAGAGAGAGAGAGACAGAATCCGAAGCAGGCTCCAGACTCTGACCCGTCAGCACAGAGCCTGATGCAGGGCTTGAACCCACAAACCATGAGATCATGACCTGAGCCCAAGTTGGGACACTTAACCAAATAAGCGACCGAGGCACCCACTAACAGAATCTTTTGTTCCTATTATCTTGGTGTCTTTCTGATAAAAGGAATGGGGATTTTAAAAAAGTTTAACAGGGAAATAAAATCAATATATTTTTTCCTAAATTTACTTCCTTTAAAAATCAGTCTTCAGAAAAGGTACAGAAAATTAAACATAAATCTTTTATTATAGTCAAACTTCATAAGAACTAAGTCTTTTTTTGAATTAAATTATTTTATTTAAATACCTTTAAAAGATCAATTTTTGAAGGATTGTCCAACATTGAAAATTTTGTTACAGGGGCGCAAGAGTGGCTCAGTCAGTTAAGCATCTGACGCTTGGTTTCCATGCAGGTCATGATCTCACAGTTTCATGAGTTTGGGCCCTGTGTCAGGCATCATAGAGTCTGCTTAGGATTCTCTCTCTCTCCCCCACTTCTCTCTGCCCCTCCCCCACTCGTGCTGTCTCTGTTTCTCTCAAAATAAATAAATAAATTTTTTTAAAAAGAAAATTTTGTTATAAATTGAAATTTTCATAAGTGCACATATTTAAAAAAAGCATCTTAATGTACTAAAATGATCTACAAATTTTAAATAAATTTCATGTTAACTATCTTCAGAGAACTGTCTTGCCAGAGCAACAGCAGATCAGAATTTGCTACATTAGATACAAATTTTCTAAAGAAAATCATAATCACGGTTTTCTTTTAATCACTTCATTGTACCTAACCTGTTAATTACACGGTATGGGTATTCTCAAGAATTTTGTTGACAGATTAACATTCACCTTTAAGTTTACTAAGTGCCTTAAGCAAAAGATACACTCATGGGAAATGGTAAGAAATGAATGTATATATATATAGAGAGAGATTTTACAGAAAGCCCAATTATAATTATTCTTGAGTGCTAACCTGAGAAATACTATAATGAATAAAGTTTATTCCAAAAAAACAGGAAATGTACTCCACTAAATAAAGCTTATTCCATAAGCAGCAAGAAGGGATTGATGATAGCTTTTGAACAAGAGCCACATTTAAGATTAAGACTAATGCATATGTAAGAGAAAAGAAAGAGCCAGGAGGCAGAGACCTGAGTTAGGAGACTACTGATAGTCCTGGAGAGCAAAAAACAATGGCCTTTCCTTGGTTTTTGGTAGCAGAAATATAAGAGAGATGTTGGAATATAGGTGGGGATAAAAAACAGCATTAATTAGCTTTGGCAGATAGAAGAATTGGTCATTTTTTGCCTTTTTTTGCCATAGTGTCTTTTCTATTTTCCCACTTTTTATTTACTTCATGTATGGATAACTTTTATTATTAGGAAAAAAACCCAGCAAATTCACCTGCTATATTTTTAAAAGATAAAATTATTAGAAGAATTCATAAGATATGCCTGGGAACCAAATGATATGGGAGCTGGAGGACAGGGTACTATGCATTAGTGAAACAGGAAGATTCAAAGATAATTCAAAACATCAATTTGAATGGAAGAATGGTTATAATAATCAAAATAAAATAATCAGAAGAGAAAGTTTTACGTTTAAGCAAAAGCCTGAGATATAAAATGAACATAAAAATAGTGACTGTTAGGGGCGCCTGGGTGGCTCAGTCCAGTTAAGTGGGTCAGGAGACTCCTGAACCATGAAATCAAGCCCCACATCGGACTCAGGGCTGACAGTGTAGAGCCTGCTTGAGATTCTCTCTCTCCCTCTCTCTGCGCCTCCCCTGCTAATGTGCATTCTCTCTCTCTCTCTCTCAAAATAAATAAAATAAACATAAAAAAAAAAGTTAAAATTTCCTACCTGTGTCAATCCTGATGCTTTGAACAATTCCTGTGGTGATCTGGTTCCGTAACTATTTGGAGAATGAAGTGACAATAGTCTGCTATATACTTTGTTTCTAACCTAAAAAACACAAACAAACAGCATTTTATAGTATAAAAATTGATCAAAACAAACTGCAATTATGGTTTTTGTAATTGCTTTACTGAGATACAATTCACATGTCACAAAATCTACCCTTTGAAGTATGTAATTCAATGGGTCTTTTTGTATATTCACAGAGCTGTGCAACCACAAACATGATCTAACTCTGGAACATTTTTATCATCCTCAAAAGAAACTCCACACTCACTAGCCATCACCCCCCCACCCAGTTCCCACTCCCTCTCATCCCCCAACAATTGCTAACCTACCTTCTGCCTCTACAGATTTGCCTATTCTGGACAGTTCTCATAAATAGAGGATTATGGTTTTAACTTCTCTACTATACTAGGTTTGGTGAAGTCAGGCCATATAAATTTTGAAAAGGTTACAGTGTATACTGGAAGGATCACCAGACACTAAATCATAAAACTAGCTCAAGTCCAGTTCAAATTTAGTTTTGTCATTTACTTATCATACTGGAAAATCATTAATTTACTGAGTCTCATTTGTCTCTATCCTTACAGTTTTCTGAATTTTTCAGGGCTACCCAAATGTAAAGTAATAAAATTCATCTTTGAACTTCAGTTTCCTCATCTATAAAAAAAAAAAGGAATAATGGAATTTGCCATATCTAATCTGAAGGTTGTTATGAAGATTAGATACTGCATATAAATGTGCTTTAAAAACTCTAAAGTTAGAAGCACCTGGGTGGCTTGGTTGGTTGAGCGTCCGATTCTTGATCTTGGCTCAGGTCATGATCTCACAGGTTTGTGGGATTGGAGCCCCATGTCAGGCTCTGTGCTGACAGTATAGTGCCTGCTTGGGATTCTCTCTTTCCTTGTCTCTCTGCCCCTCCCCTGCACACTCTCCCCTTCCTCTCTCTGTCCCTTCCCCATTCTCTCTCTTTCTCTCAAAGTAAATAAATAAACTTAAAAAAATAAAAAACCTCTAAAAGTGCCTGGGTGGCTCAGTCGGTTAAGCATCAGACTTCAGCTCAGGTCATGATCTCATGGTCTGTGAGTTTGAGCCCAACATCAGGCTCCACACACTGACTGTGGAGCCTGATTGGCAATTCTCTCTCTCCTCTCTCTCTGACCCTCCCCAGCTCATACTCGTGCTCTTGGTCTCTCAAAATAAATAAACATTAAAAAAAAAACCAAAAAAATAGTAAAACCTCTAAAGTTATACAAATGCACAGTATTCAACAAGAACATGCTTGGTTTGACACACCTTCCTAAAAACAAGCTTTGTATATTCCTATGGAGAAAATTTATTTTTAATAGTAAAAAAGTATTATTTTATAAAAATACAAAATGCCTTTAAACATCTGAATAAAATCATCTACAAGTAAACCTGGATCCCACAAATGAACAGAAACTTAGTTACTGACTACAGCAAAACTGAATTGAACATTCAAGGAATTTATCAGGAAAGATGCCTGTGAGAGAAAATGGAAAGAAAGCTAGGCAAGATCAAGAGTTGTTAGACAGTGATAGAAGTGTGACTCCATCACTGTGAAAAAAAGAGGGAAGGAAGGTTGGGAGTAAGAATCCTAAGTAATATGCTGAAGACACACAGCTATTGGCAGAGCTAGTACCTGGACCTAGATAATCTGGCTTCAGTGGTAATCACTTAACCACTTACACTATTCAAGAATATACTCCACTCCTGGGGCGCCTGGGTGGCTGAGTCCATAAGCATCTGACTTCAGCTTAGGTCGTGATCTTGCAGTTCATGGGTTTGAGCCCCATACTGGGTTCTATGCTGACAGCTCAGAGCCTGGTGTCTGCTTTGGATTCTGTGTCTCTCTTTCTCTGTCCCTCCCCAGCTTGTATTCTCTCTCAAAAATAAATAAATTAACTTTTGGGGGAAAAAAAAGAATATACTCTACTCCTGGAAAAAATACCTGCCCCATTATTATTTAACTGAACCCAACCCAATTTCATAAATTTGTCAAATAGTATATATTGCATATTATTTCACAACTGGATACTGTGAGGCACTTATTGGCTGACACTCAATATTCTACTGATTTATCTACTCATAAATAAACACTGAAAACAAGCAACCTAAAAATACTCAAACATAAATCCCAACAAAAATTCATATACTACTTAGCCTCTAAGGCAGAGATTTTTTTCCTCTAATATTTTGACTTTACAAATGAGTCCAAAGTTTTACACAGCTCACTAGGTGGAAAATTATTTCAAGCTAATACTTGGAGGCTTCCAGAAAGGCAGCATCTTACATACCTCCTTTTTGAAATTGAGAAAGTAGTTGGATTGGTCAACATGAAAAATCTCAAGGGCGGACCTCCTTAAATTGTAACGCCGCAGGTGAATCTCTCGAATCTGAGAATGAGGCCACTTGAAATCAAAGCCTACTCCTGAAAACAGAAGAAATCTTGTGACCAGAGTACCATATGAAGTTACTTGTATTATGCAGAAGATATCTCCTAGCTCCTAACAAAAGTAGCACTTAGGGAAAAGGAATTACATTTATTTCATAAAAACCATTTGATAAATTTAGTGGACGTTTAGATGGTTTCTTTTAAAAGTATTTTTAAATTCTATAGCTATTCTATTTTCTTCTCATGAAAACAGAATAATCCTGATCATTACATCTCAAAAACATTTTTCCTTTTCTCTTTATGCTGGCATTTTAGATTTAAATATCGTTTAATTTTCAGATAATGAATTATGTGAAAAGCTGATAGAAATAAATGTGCAAATAAAATTAAGACTGCATTTTATAACACAAGTTTACAGCAATCCCTCTCACCAAATCTTTAAAAAACATTAACAAAAAAAGCATTCTCTCCAATACATTGTTGAAATTTAATTCCATATTGACTTTCCATTTCTCCTCTTACATAATAGACCACAATCCCACAATCCTATGTCACTGTTTTCTTCTCATTAATGATTAATAAGCTGGATACTTAACTATTGAACAACAGAAATTATTCCCCCAGAACTCCTCACCATCTTCTTTTTCAATGCTGCAATCATAGAAGTAAATGTGTTGAGTAGTAATTTCTAATCTGCCAGGAATTACGTCAATTATTGTAATGAGCTCACAGTCTTCTGACAACACCAATTTTTCTTTTTGATCCTGTTCTTCTTTTTCATCACTGTAAAAACAAAAATCAACCAAACAAAAACCATCCAACGTATTCTGTGTAAATGGAAAAGAATATCAAGAAAGAGTATTTGAATTACCTATAAAAATATTCCACTAAATATTAAACTAATTAAATACTGTCCAAAATGTTATTTCCCAATAACTCAGTTAAAAAAAAACCAAAGTTTTATATTTTAATTGTATGTGGCCCATTAAAACAAAATATAGTGAATCTTTAAGACTACTGGCAGAGGACAGTTCGAACATACAGCAATACTAGTCATGTCATTTTAGTTATATTTGCGAGAGATGAGTTGACCTAGGGAATATATGAATCTGTGAATAAAGGAATGCATCATTAGTGATGTTTTATGAATAATTATCAGAAGCACTAATTATGACTGATTCTTAAACTGTAAAATGAGACTTTTCAAGAGCAACTAAATCTAGAGCAACATCATCATCATAATGTCTCTACAATGGAACTGGAGATAATACAAAGGGCTACTATAGCAATACCTTACTTAAAGTCATCTTGTATTAAGAGGACTGTTATCTTCTCCAATAAAAATAAGTTATAACAGTAATTACAACATAATTATATAATTTATAATTAAATAGAATTATAATTAACATAAACTATAATTTATAAATTATAAATCTTCAGAAATTATTAAAATTATATTAACAAAAATCTTATTTATGCCAATGAAGATTACTACTGAACCAGGTCAATTTGTTTTTTTTTTTAATTTTTTTTTTTTCCAACGTTTATTTATTTTTGGGACAGAGAGAGACAGAGCATGAAGGGGGGAGGGGCAGAGAGAGAGGGAGTCACAGAATCGGAAGCAGGCTCCAGGCTCTGAGCCATCAGCCCAGAGCCTGACGCGGGGCTCGAACTCACGGACCGCGAGATCGTGACCTGGCTGAAGTCGGACGCTTAACCGACTGCGCCACCCAGGCGCCCCTGAACCAGGTCAATTTGTAACATTAAAGTAAGTTCCAAAGAAATGCTTGCCATGTGTAGTTTATAATCTAAAAAAAAAGTGATGTCCAGAATAAATTATGTATTTGGGTCTTGAGTTCTCATTTTTGGCTGAGGCTTTACAAACATAGAAAGTAAAAGTCAGGGCAGATGTGTAAATCATGAAATTTGAACACGTTCCCTAAGGCACACACACAGATCTACTGGCAAAGAATGGCAGTCTTCTGGAACAAGGGGTTTAAATACTAATTATTGCCTGACCACTAACCTATACTTTTTATAAAGGGCCAGACTTTTTTTAAAAACAGGCTTTTTGTTTAAAAACAAAACAAAGTAAGGGCACCTGAATGGTTCAGTCAGTTAAGCATCCAACTCCTGATTTCAGCTCAGGTCATGATCTCACAGTTTCTGGGATTGAGCCCATGTCAGGCTCTGCACTGATGGCGTGGAGCCTGCTTGGGATTCTCTCTCTGCCCCTCCCCTGCTTGTGCTCTCTCTCTGTCAACATAAATAAACTTAAAAAAATAAAAATAAATAAAAAAAAAACAAAACGAGTAAAACAAAAACCCAGTGAGTACAGACATCACTGGCAACACAGAGCAGGTAAGACATACACCACAAAATTAATCCAGGGAAGTCACTAAGCAAAAATACCACCATAATAACCATCATCAAAGAAGGGGATCAGAAACCAGAGTGGTTACAATTTATTATCTAAAATGCAAAGAAAAAGTAAATTATGAGCCATAAAGAAAAACACAGTAAAAAGAAACTGTCTTTGGGGAACTTCAGATGTTCACATTAGCAGACAAAAACATCAAAGTAGCTATGGTAAATACATTAAAAGAACTACAGGAAACTATGTTTAAATAACTAAAGTGCATTCATTATGGCAACAAAGCCTAGTCAAATAGAGACTGTCAATTAAGAGACAGAAATTACATAATCTTTAAAAAGGGAACCACATGGAAAACTGTGGAATCAAAAGCATAATAACTAAATGAAAAATTTACCAGGACTCAATAGCATTTAAAAAATTTTTTTTAGTGTTTATTTGTTTTTGAGAGACAGAGGGAGACAGAGCACAAGCAGGGGAGTAGGCGGAGAGAGAGGGAGACACAGAATCCAAAGCAGGCTCCAGGCTCTGAACTGTTAGCACAGAGCCCGAAGCGAGGCTCGAACCCACGAACTGGGAGATCATGACCTGAGCTGAAGTCGGATGCTTAACTGACTGAGCCACGCAGGCCAGGCACCCCTCAATAGCATATTTGAACTTGCCTCTCAATAGCATATTTGAACTTGCATAGGAAAGAAGCAGGACTCTTGAAGACAGTTCAAAAGAAACTGTCCAACCTGAAGAACACAAAGGAAAAAAGAAGCAGGATGAAAAAACCTCAGAGGGTTCCCATCATGGGAAACAACAGATGTGTAAAAGGACTCCCAGAGAGGACAGAGAAAAAGAGCCAAACATACATATTTGAAGAAATAATGCCTGAGAACTTCCCAAATAAAAAAAAAATAATAATTCACACATCCAGGAAGATTCTATGAATATCCAAAGATATCCACACATGGACATAAAGCCAAGGTACTGAAAGCCAAGTAGAAAAACCACCACAATACAGGATGCTAAAATGTAGTGGGATGACATATTCAAAATGCTGAAAAGAAAACAAAACAAAACAAAAGAAAAGAGAGAAAAAAGAAAAGAAAAAACAACCTGTCCACTAAGAACTGTATATCCAACAAAATCATCCTTTAAAAAAGAAAGCAATGGTCCTCAGGCAATGGATAATCACATGCAGAAGAATGAATATGGACTCCTACATCATACCACATACAAAAATTAACTGAAAATGGATCAAAGACCTAAATGTAGGAGATAAAATATAAAACTCTTAGGGGAAAAAAAGATAAATGGGACCTCAAAATTTTAAATTTTTGTCCAACAAAATGAAGGAAAACACATTCAATGGGAGAACATTTTTGCAAATCATGTGTCTGTTAAGGCTTTTGTATCTAGAATAAAGAACGACTATAACTTAATAACTAAAAGACAACCCAATTAAAAAAAATGAGCAAAGGATTTACATAAATATTTCTCCAAAAAAGATATATAAATAGTAAACAAATCCATGAAAAGATGCTCAGCTTCATTAGTCATTAGGAAAATGCAAATTAAAATCACAAAGTATCATTCCAAATCTTATAGAATAGTATAATAAATCAACACACAAAATGTCAAAAATTGGGGTAGATGTGGAGAAATCTGAACCCCTATATGTCACTTAGGGGAATGTTAAATGGTGTAGTCAGTATGAAAACAATTTTACAATTCCTCAAAAGGTTGTACATAGATTTACCATATAACTAACAAATCCATTACTAGGTATATACCCAATATAATTAAAAACATATGTCGACACAACATATGTCATTCTGTACATGAATATTCATGGAAGTATAAATTACAAAAACCAAAAAGTAGAAAAAACTGTCTGTTCATCAACTGATGAATGGATAAACAAAGGTGGTATATCCATATGATGGAATATTATTCAACCATAAAATGGAATGAAGTCAAGTTACATGCTACTCCATGAATGAACCTTGGACACATTATACTGAATGAAATAAGCTAGACATAAAAGGCCACATATTGTAAGAGATAAATGAAATGTCAAAAACAGACAAAGCCAATAGAGACAGAAAGCAGATGAGTGATTTCCAGGGGATGTAGGAAGGGGAAAATTGGGAGTGTCTACTAAAAAAGTGCAAGATTTCCTTTCAGAGTGATGAAATTGTTCTGTAATTAGACTTGTGAACATACTAAAACCTATGGAATGTTACACTTTAAAAGAGTAAATTTTATATTATATGAATCTCAATTTTCAAAAGATATATAACTAAAATTTTGTTAAAGAGTAGCCAAAAATGAAGGCAAAAATAAAGACTACCACAGATAACAAAGCCTGAGAGAATCTGTGGTCAGACATTCCTCACATGAAAATAAAAGAAGTCCTTCAGGCTAGAAGATGAAGACACCAGATGGAAATTTGAATGTGCACAAATAAACAAAGTATATAAGTATGGTAATTATGCAGGCAAATAAAAAGTACAGTTATATAGTTTTCTCTATTCTTCCCTTGACTGATTTAGACAAGTGCATACAATAGTAACTACAAAATTGTATTGTTGGCCTTAAAACACATGAAAGTCTGTATTTATGATAATTAATACAAAGGAGAGATAAGGAAACCAATATCTTTTATGTTTGGGAAAATTTTCTACTACAAATTCAAAATTTTTAAATGTATCTAAGGCTATTCATTTTAAATTTTCTTCTTGAGGGAGGTTTGCTAATTTGTATCTTTCAAGGAATTTGTCCATTTAAGTTGTCAAAATTTATTGGTAAAGTTGTATTTAGTATTTCTTTTTAATCATTTTAATATTTTTAGTGTTCTCTCCTTTTTAATTCCCAATATTGATAATTTATGTGGCCTTTCTTTCTTTCCTGACCAGTCTGGCAAGGAGTTTATGTTTTGTTAGCTCTTTTTTTATTTTTTTAATAACTAGCTTTTGTTTTCTTTGGTCTTTTTCCTTTTCCAATTTTCTTTTCATGACTTCTGCTTTCATCTTTATAATTTCTTCCTTCTGCTTAAGAGTTTATATTTTATTCTGTACTTTGTATCTAAACTTTATCTAAACATTCTATCTAAGCTTTAACTGTATCCCACAAATTTGATAGGTTATGTTTTCATTATCATTCAGCTAAAAATATTTTCTAATTTCAAGGTCCAGCTCAAAGTTATCTCAGTTCTAAAAAGCAAGCCTCAATAATGTCAGTTAATACTGATAGACTACTCACAACTGATATAGCAGTAACTGATGGATCCTGCAAATACAGTTGACTCTTAAACAATATAGGGGATAGCGGCACTGAAGCTGGTGTAAAAATCTACAAATAAAACTGACTCCCTAAAAATTTAACTAACAGCCTACTGTTGACCAGTAACTGTTACCAACCAATAATATACACAGTTGATGAATAAATCTTTTGTATATCTTATATACTGTATTCTTACAATAAAGTAAGCTAGAAAAAAGAAAAAGGTTTTAAGAAAATCATTAGGAAGATATAATACATTTACAGTACTATATTGTTTTTATTGACAAAAATCATATATAAGTGGATCCATGCAGTTTAAACCTTTATTGTTCAAGGGTCACTGTACTTAGTATTTTAAGCAAATACCTTCCATGATTTTATAATCCCGTTTTTCAGAACAAAATTTTTTAATGTTTATTAAAATACAACAATATAATGTTTATATTGAGACACACACACACACACACACACACACACACACACACACACACACAGAATCCTAAGCAGGCTCCACACTGTCAGCGCACAGCCCTGTGCAGGGCTCAATCCCACGAACCTTGAGATCATGACCTGAACCAAAATCAAGAGCCAGATGCTCAACTGACTGAGCCACCCACGCTCCCCCAGAACAAAATGTTTACTCCTTTCAAATACTTATACATACATATTTACTCTGGCTGTTATGTCTTCTTCAGGAAGGTCTAATTTATCCTCTTCCATATTGCTAACTTTTACTTGTTTCACTACTTCCAAAAGCAATGAATCACTAGAAGGCTGTGAGTGTTGGATACCTGTCGAAAATAAATACAAAATATCTATTAAACACAAAGTAAAAAATAATCCTATTATAGTCCTGTAACTTCTGGCTATTAATTACATGATTATATATATATATATACATATATATATATATTAAGTAAAGGAAGAGAGTAAGGGAATTGGGTGAAGGTACTCAAAAGGTCTAAACTTCCAATTATAAATAAGTATTGGGGACATAATGTGCAATGATGACTATAGTCAACAATGCTATATGGTATACTTGCTACAAGAGCAGATCCTAAAAGTTCTCATCATAAGGAAAATTTTTGTTAACTACACGATAGGTGTTAACTAAACATTACGGTAATTATTTTGCAATATGCACATATCTCAAGTCATTATGTTCTAGATCTTACATAGTATTGTATGTTAATTATATTTATAAAACTGGAAAAAAACCTTGGGAGGTAAAGTTTTCTAAGATAGAAAAGATATTTACTACAGAAAAGTTTTTAATACATGATTTAGAGTAATCTGGGTTGTTTGTGATTTTTAAAAACTACTACATGTAAAAAAAAGAATAAATATTTTTAAAATATGTCTATAATTTTTTTATTATTTATGTTTGTTTATTTTTGAGGGTGAGACAGACAGGGTGTAAGAGGGAAAGGGGCAGAGACAGAGGAAGACACAGAATCTGAAGCAGGCTCTAGGCTCTGAGCTGTCAGCACAGCGCCCATGAGGGGCTCGAACTCATGGACCGTGACATCATGATCTGAGGTGAAGGTGGACGCCCAACCAACTGAGCCAGCCACCCAGGTGCCTCTGTCCTTTATTTTTAATGATGGTACTATTTATGTTTCAAAATGGGTCAACTCATCTCTTTAATTCATTTAATTCTAACATATGCCAGTAAGTCAAAGAAAGAATTATTCTCACTGTATTAATAAAACTATTTTTAGTGTGTATTTGTACTAAAGAAATATTAAGTAAGAATGTGACAAATTATCTTTAATTGGAAGAGAATACATAATACAAAAGCTGAAGTGTTCTTTTCTGGAGCACATGGAATTTAAAAAGTAATTCTAGATACATATATACGCAATAAATGAATGGATTTTATAAAATATACACTTTGTAAGAAGACAGGGCTAATATAATGGGAAGAACAAAGGCTGTAAGGTGGTGAACTTAAATTCAAATCCGGTTCTGCCATTTATTAAATAGACGACTCCTCTGAATCTTTGTTTTTTTAACTGTGTAATGGAGATACATCACATTACATTAAGTATAAAATAAATGGCAGCTATTATAATTGTACATTTACTTCTCAATTATCTGAGTGGTATAAGAGTAGTAATAAAAATAACTGCATAATTTATAGGTAGGACTGGGAAAAAGTTATGTATGTAACTATGAATAAAGACATTTCAGTCGTGGGAAACAAAAATAATTCATACCAACTAACAAAACATTATAAAGATGACAAATCCTCCCTTAATTTTTCAGATGGTATCATTGCTCAGACATAGAAAATGAATCAACCTAATGTACAGCTGCATTTTTCTGTGTAAATCTGCTTTGATCACACCTTTGTCTATAGATAGGAAGTAATGGCTCACACTTTTCCTAGTTACTGAATATGTTTCTTCATATGTTCTAATTTATTGCAGGTGGCAGTATTTATTGTTCAGCATCTAAGTAAAGCACATGAGAATGCAATGAAACTGAAAATCAGGAATCTATGTAATGTGATACAAAGAGAAAACAGACTTTATGTAGCTGGATGACACTATTCCATTAAGAGTGTAAGTTCAGGGGTGCCTGGGTGGTTCAGTCAGTTGGGTGACAGACTTTGGCTCAGGTCATGATCTCACGGTTTGTGAGTTCGAGCCCCACGTTGGGCTCTGTGCTGACAACTCAGAGCCTGGAGCGTGCTTCTGATTCCATGTCTCCCTCTTTCTCTGCCCCTCCCCCACTCATGCTCTGTCTCTCTGTCTCAGAAATAAAATAAACATTAAAAAAAAAAGAGTGTAAGTTCAAAATGTGATGAAAGACTGGAGAATAAACTGACGATGGGAAAAACTTCAGGCAAAGAAAGAGGCCAGCTGGGAAACTACTGTAACTTTGGGAAAAGATAGCACACCATAAGTTATGACAACAGGAAAGGGAATGAAAATAAGGAAAACCATTCAAAAGCTATGTAAGGGAGAATTAAGAGGACACTGTACCTAAAGAGCTATTATTATGTAGGGGATTAAGAGGGATGAGGACAGATTCATGGCTAATATTATTTTAATCTGAGTAACTAATAAATGAAGAAAATGAAACTACAACACAAAATGTGAGAGAAGCAGAGTCTAGGGCGAGGAGTAGATGAATGAGAAAACATAATGAATTCAGTTTCAGAAATTTTACATGGAAGCCCCCCTGTGGAGGAGGTATCCAATAGACAAGACAGGCAGCTGGAAATCTTCAAAAGGCAGGTTAGAATAGAAACACAAGTGGGAAAGCATCATTTCATATACAAACAGTGGTGAAGTCATGAGATCACCACTTCATAGAGAGAATAGGCAAAAGGCAAGATGGCTAGGCATGGATCTGGGAATATAATCATTCAAAAGGTGAACAAGACTAAATATTAGTAAGAGAACTAGGAGGTTAAGCAGCATTGCTAGAAAAATATAGTTATAGAGGAGGATAACTACCAAATGGTTCAGACACAAGAGAAACTGTAAGAAATAAAAACAAGTTGTTGCAAATACTCAGAAAAGAGTACTTTTTTAAAAAAAGATTTTAAGCAATCTCTACACCCAATGTGGGGCTCGATACTACAACCCCAAGATCAAGAATTCCATGTTCAAATCTACTTCTGAAATCATTGTTGCACCATATACTAACTTGGATGTAAATTAAAAAAAAAAATAGAATTGCACGTTCCACTTCTTTTTTTACATAAAATTTTTTTATGTTTGTTTATTTTTAGACAAAGACAGAATATGAGCTGGGGAGGAGCAGAGAGAGTGGGAGACATAGAATCCAAAGCAGGCTCAGGCTCTGAGCTGTCAGCCCAGAGCCCGGTGTGGGGCTCAAACTCATGAACCACAAGATCATGACCTGAGCTGAAGTCGGACACTCAACCAACTGAGCCACCCAGGTGCCCCAAGAAAAGAGTATTGTTAATGAAAAAGTATGGACAAAATTTTTTTATAAAACCAAATAAAAAAAATAAAAGCAGACATAACAAAACTCTAAAACCAAGTATTTTTAATAATATATTTAAGAATACACTTTATTTCTGACTGTTTAAATTCCACAATTTACAAGTGGTTGTGTTCCAAAAGATACTTCACAAATCACTTGTTTGGAATTCACAAATAATTTTCCATCAAAAAAATGTTACAGATAATGGATAAGTTTCTAGGTTAGCCCACAGTGTCAAAACTATCCTGTAAATTTGTAGTGCGATGTTACAAAGCAGAACTGGGGTAAATGAAACAAAACAAAATATTTTTTAGAATACCATGATTTCTGGCAGCTAATGAAAATACTTACAGACATAAAAAGGAGTAGGTAGAACATTTTACAATTAATTCTGAAGGATACTTCAGGGAACTTTAAAGAGCTTTAGAGATTGATGCCACTGGTTTTATACTATTTCCAGTTTCACTTTGAAATGTATGAAATTTTTTTTCTTCTGTACTATCTCACTATCACTATTATACTTGGGGGTATTTTTGAACATTGGGTAAGGAGAAAAACTGAGAGATGAAAAAAAGAAAGAAGGGGCACCTGACTGGCTTCAGTCCAGAAAGCGTGTGACTTTTTTTTTTTTTTTTAATGTTTTATTTTATTTTTGAGAGAGTGAGAGAGACAGCATGACTGGGAGAAGAGCAGAGAGAGAGGGAGACAGAATCTGAGGCAGGCTCCAGGCTCTGAGCTGTCAGCACAGAGCCCGACACGGGGCTCGAACCCACAAACTGTGAGATCATGACCCGAGCTGAAGTCGGATGCCCAACTGACTGAGCCACCCAGGTGCCCGTGGAAAGCGTGTGACTCTTGATTTCAGGGTTGTGAGTTTTGAGCCCCACATGGGGTGTAGAGATTACTTAACTAAATAATTTAAAAAAAGAAAAAGAAAAAAAGAAAGAGCACTAGTTTTCCTATACTTAACTAAAACCAAGGAGAAGGGACATAAAACTCTACCTATGTACAAGTATAAATGGGTGAGGAAAGGAAGAGGAACAGGGAATTTCCTGAAGTGGGATTTCTTGGCAAAAACAAAGAAAAAACAGGGGACACCATTCTTTAAGTATTACTAGATTCAAGTCATTCACCAATAGATATTTGCTGAGTAATAAGCACAGTCGAATTTCAATGAGTAGAGAAAGTATAATAGGTCTCAAGATATGTACAGGGAGGATAAGCTATATGTAAGTGACTATTCCTATAAAAGATATTCTTAAAGTCAGAGTTTCTTTCGGGGGTAGGACCATTATTTTGCCTTAAGGAAAATCGGTTACTGTGTCTGATTTATTTTAGAATATAAGACCATAAATGGTAGGTATCATAGATAGCACTCTTGATTAATTTATGGCATCAAATGTATTGGCCAATATATTAAGGCAGCTTTAAAAAGATTTAAAAACTGGTACTTGAATTCCATCTAAAACTTAGCCACTAAAAACAGGTGGCTACGATAAAACAATCACAATTTAGTATACACATGATTGCCAATGACTCAACAATCAACTATATTGGGTACTTCACAGACCTGTCTTCAAAAAAGGAGATACCAAGTCAGAAAGGTAGGGTCAGAAAGGTGGCCAGAAAGGAAGGGTTTTTTTCTAGAAAAAGATACTGGCCTAAGATCCTAAGGGTCCAAGAAGAATAGGTTATAAAACAAAAACTTAAACGGTTGCTAAGAATTCTAAATATATCTAATATTAGCCCTAGTCTTGGTAAGCAAAAGACTAAGGGAAAAGAACTAAAGCAAAAGACTAAGGTACTGTTTCAATGTACCATAATGGATACAAGAGACAATGCACTGCACATAAACTACAGTATAATTTTATGATTGCAAATTATGCTTTTCTTTGAAAAATTACAATTAATTAAAATAGGAATCATCTTAGATTTAGGCCAAAGAACAGCATTTAACATACACAACCATTTAAAAATCAACTATATTGTGTACAACAAAGCTTTGTATATAAAACTTTAACATTCTGAAAAAGAAATAATTACAAAATGTCCCCCTTCCTTCATGAGTAAGCAATTCTGAAACAATAAAAACAACAAACAACCCACCAATACCCTCATTATCTTCAAGAAATAATTAAACAGCCATTGGAACTCACCTAGATTATCTCTCAAAGCACTAGCGTCTTCATGAGTTTTGAAGTTATAATTTGGCACCAATTTAAGTCTCATGCGGGAATAATTTTCTACATTAGCTAGTTTCCAGTGAACTGGATTTTGTTTCCTATGAATATTCATAAGTAAACAAGTAAAATTACTTAGTTTGAAGCTACAAAGATTGACTGATTGAAACAAAGTAAGAAAGTAAGAAAGTTACAAAGATTGATTGATTGAAACAAAGTAAGAAAGTATTCATATTAAAAACATTCATATTCATTATCTCATCTGACCCAAACAACCCTGAAAGAAAACTAATGAGAATATGCACAGTTTCAGTTTATACATGAAGAACCTAAGACAGGCTAAATTATTTGCCTGAAATGCTATGTTGTTTACAGGTAGCAGAAATAAGAACTGAACATAAATCTTCACCTTACAGCTTGATAGATTTTACTTTTTAACTGTTCAACGATAGTTCTTAACTAGGTATACAATGAGTTTATTCCAAACGCACTGTTCAAAATAAAATAATTTTAGTACAAATAAAGAGAGTATAATTGCAAATAGATCAAATCTAAATGTAAGAGCTAAAACTCTTTGAAGAAAAGATAGGAGTAGGGGTGCCTGGGTGGCTCAGTCGGTTAAGCATCTGACTTCAGCTCAGGTCATGATCTCACAGTTTGTGGGTTCGAGTTCCGCATCAGGCTCTGTGCTGACAGCTCAAAGCCTGGAGCTTGCTTTGGATTCTGTGTCTCCCTCTCTCTCTGCCCCTCCCTGGCTTGTACTCTGTCTGTCTGTCTTTCAAAAATAAATAAACATTAAAAATTAAAACAAACAAACAAAAAAAGATAGGAGTAAATTTTCATGACCTTGGACTTGGGTATGGTTTCTTAGATATTATATCAAAAACACAATCAACAAAAGAAAAAAGACAAACTGGACTTTGAAATTAAAAACTTTTTGTGTACCAAATGCTAGTACCAAGAAAGTGAAAAAGACAATCTACATATTTACAAATCATAGATCTGATAAGGATCTATTGCTGAGAAAAAGAACTCTTACAACTCAACCAAAAAACATCAAACAATCCAATTTAAAAATGGGCAAAGAACTTAGACATTTCTCCAAAAAAGATATACAAATAGCCAACAAATGAAAAGATACTCAATGTCACTGGTCATTAAGAAGCACATATCAATGCGGTGCCTGGGTGGCTTAGTTGGTTAAGTGTCCGACTTTGACTTACTAAGGTCATGATCTCACGGTTTGTGAGCTCAAGCCAGCGTTGTGCTCTGGGCTGACAGCTCAGAGCCTGGAGCCTGCTTCGGATTCTGTGTCTTCCTCTCTTTCTGTCCCTCTCCCAGTCATGCTCTGTCTCTGTCTCTCTCTCTCTCTCTCTCTCTCAAAAATAAACATTAAAACTTTTTTTTTATATAAAAAAAAAGAAATACAAATCAAAACCATAACATAGCCCTTCACATCCATTTGCCCTTCACATCACATAATAAAAAAATTGAAAAATTTTAGAAATACTGGTAAGGTTGTGGAGAAACTAGAACCCGCAAACATTGCTGATGGGTATGTTATATGATGCAGTTGCTGTGGAAAACAGTTTGGCAATTAGTAAGTAAGACATTGGATTATCACATGACCTAGTAATTTTGCTTATAGGTATACACTTAAAAGAATTGAAAACAGATGTTTGGAAAAAGTGTTCACAAATGTTCAAAGCAGTACTGTTTACAAAAGCCACAAGAAAACATCTCAATGTCTACCATCTGATGAATGAATAGACAAAATGTGGTTTGGCTATTGAAGAAGTGCTGATACATGATACAATATAATGAAAATATTACGCAAGTGAAATAAGTTGGACACAAAAGGCCACATTTGTAAGATTCTATCTATATAAAATATCAAGAATAGGTAAATCCATAGAGACAGAATACAGTCTGGTGGTTGCCAGGGACTGGGTAAAGGAACAATAGAGAGTGACTGCTTAATGGGTCCCAGGTTTCTTTTAGCAGTAATGAAAATGTTCTGAAGCCGGACAGTGGTAATGATTGCACATTATGAATGTACTTAATGTCACTAAATTGTGTATTTTTAAATGGTTAAGATGGTAAAGTTTATGTGTATTTTGCCACAATAAGAAAGGGGTGTGTGTGTGTGTGTGTGTGTATATATACATGTGTGTATATATATATATATATTTAAATTTTAATATTTAAATTTATAGTATATTATATTACAGGTATATTTAAATTTTAATGCCATAATTTAAAAAATTTGTTCCAATACAATCATGTAGGAAAAGAAAGAAGCTGACAGCCAACAATATTTTAACAGTTTATTTACTTGATCCTAAGTCACTTCTATTTTGCTGATTCAGCAAAGTATGACTTAGGATCAAGTAAATAAACTGTAAAATATTCAAACATATAACATCACTAACTCCAGCTCAAAGAGGCAGTATCAAGAAGAAAGAAATAAACTGATTCAAGACTTAAACTCTATATCACAGTGTAAAAAGAAGGGAAATAACTCCATGGTGAAAACACATATATGAAGCTCTGAACATCCCAGACCTGTAATTCACAAAAAGACAACCAAATTAATTAAAAGCAATTTTTTGTAAGTTGAATGTTTTAAAAATTGAATTGCAGAGGTCACTGGCTCAAAAAGTTCTAGACAGAAGTTATAATGAAGAAAGAATATTTAATAAATGATATCCTCCTACCTTTCAGCCCAAGGTCCCCTTTCAGATGTAAGATAGAGCTGTATTGCCTTCCAGCGTCTCAGAGTGACTAACTGTTGACTGCTAAGTTGTTTAAGCATATTATTATACCTCAAGTTCTCTTGGCGTGCTTTTCGATTAAATGGCTCCACAAAAAACTCCTGAGATAGCAATAAATAATAGCCTTGAATCTTGTATTTACAGGTATATTTAAATTTTAATGCCATAATTTAAAAAATTTATTCCAATACAATCATGGAAAAGAAAGAAGCTGACAACCAACAGTATTTTCTTACTTCATTAGGATAATTTTCTTTCATGAAGCATACTACTCTATAATCTGTATTTTGTAAAACTTTAAAAATCTAAACAACAATAAACATGTGAAGAGCTTCAAAAATGATGTACCTCAATACAGAATTTTAAAACTCAGATTTATTAACCTTATACTGTCAAGTAAAATGATCTTCCTTTGGAGTCTTTTGGTTTTTAAGGCACTGGAATGAAACTCATTCTTAAATAAAGTAGAAGGAAGAGTAACCACATCCACAGCTACTACTGGGGATCTAAAAGGCAAGGTCAAAGACAAAAGAAATCCATAGGGGAAAATCTCTCACAATGAAAAACTTCATCATTTGAATTGCTGCTCTCTGAATAATATCCTAGTCAGCAAATGAATTCACAAACTTATTCCAGTTTTCAGGATAAAATTCACTCTGATAATAGGCTCTATCAAGATATAACTCAGTCCTGAAATTAAGTTTTATAGTTTTCAAAAAGAAAAGTAGTAAGATTGACTCAAACAGATATTCACCTATCAGGAACTAAAATAACAGTATTTGTTTCACAAAATCAATACTGAATTAGGTTAAAAAGAACAGTTAAAGACATGGATTTAGATGTGGGTTTAAAAGACATCTTTCAGAGAGGCAATACAGCACAGTGCAGTTAAGAGTTTAGAGTTAGGCCTGGTACAAATCTTAGGTACTTAATTCTCTGAGGTTCAGTATCTTCATCTCTAAGATGAGGCTGACAATATTTGTCATCAAAAAAGATTAAGATTTAAAGTACTTAATACAGTGCCAGAAAAGTAGCAAGCTCTCAATAAACTGTAGCTCTTATTCCTATAATTGTTACTATAATTACTAGACCTTTGTGAAATCAATGATTTGGTATTACTAAATATTTAAAACAGGTCAATGCTAAGAAAATTGAAGAAGTCATGACAACTCCATTATAATTAAACATCAATTTCACAATTGGTGAAGTTCAAGCAATAAGAATATTCTAAAGTTAGTTTTACCCAGAAAAGCTAAGGATGAAGTTACAAAGAAAGTGCTGGTTGGAATAGAAACTAACAGAACTTCTATGAGAGCAATAGAACAGTATTTTAAGCAGTGCCGCATCCAGTAATTCCACTTATCCTAGTAAAGCCATCCTGAATAAGCATAAAAATATGACTATAAGGATGATCAATGCTACTTAAAATGAACATTGATAAATTAGGTCCAAAATTGGGACATAAATTTAATTATGTTCTAATACATAATATAATGGAAAACTACACAGTCATATAATGGCATGGAAAGATGCTCAGAATAAGAAAAGGAGCAGTAAATGAAAAGTGTGCCATTTTTATATACATTAAAAAAACCAAAATGTTAATAGTGGTGGATTACAAATGTTTCTTTTTATACCTATTAAGGAATAAATGTATTTTTACTTGATCATCTTTGTTTCATCAGTGTTTTGCCTGTACATATTTTATTCGATTGGTATCTAAATATCTTATTCTTTTTAGAGATATTGTAAGTAGTGCTTTTTCAAAATTTCAGTTTACAATTGCTCATTGTTGGTATATAGAAATATGACTAAATTTTGTATATTGTATGTCTTGCAGTATTGCTAAACTCATTAATTGTAGGAGATTTTTGGTAAATTCATTAGGATCATCTACATAATAATATTATCTGCAAACAGTTTTATTTCTACCTGTCCAATGTAAATGACTTTTATTTCTTTCCCTATTCTTAATGCATTTGCTAGGATATATAGTACAACAGTGACTAGAAGGGTGGTGAGAGTGGACATTCTCAGCCGGTTCTCTGCTTACAAGGAAAGCACTCAGTTTTCCACCTTTAAATATTTAAATATAAAGCTACCAGGGTGCCTGAGCCACGTAGTAGGTTAAGCATCAGACTCTTGATTTCAGCTCAGGTCATGATCTCATGGTTCCTGAGCCGGAGCCGTAAAACAGGCTCTGCAATGAGAGCATGGAGCCTGCTTTGGATTTTCTCTCTCCCTCCTCACATGTGCACATACATATGCACATACATGTGCATGCTCTCAAAATAAATAAACTTTAAAAACAAATATGAAGCTAGCTGTAAGATTTTTGTTGAGATTCTATTTCCAGTTTTCTGAGAGCTTTGACCATAAAACAGATGAGTTTTGTCAAATGCTTTTTCTACATCTGATAAGATTAGTTTCTTTTTAATAAATATGAATTTAGTCCATTACCCTTATATTGGCTGACTATCAAATGTTGAAGCAATCTTGCATTCTTAGGATAAACTCTACCTGGTGTGATGTATTACTTTTTTATATATTGCTGGATCTGGTTTCCATCAATGTTCCTAAGAGATACTGATCTGTAGTTTTCCTGTACCATTTTTGTGATTTTTAAATTCCAGTATAATTAATATACAGTGTTATATGAGCTTCAGGTGTATTCTTACACTATTTTTGTATGGTTTCAATAAGGGGATAACACTATCCTCACATAATGAGTTGGAAGTGATTCCATTTTTCTGTTTTCTGAAGAGACTGTGAGGAATTGGTGTTATTTCTCCATTAAATGTTCAACAGAATTCACCAGTGAAACCACTTGGGCCTGGAGTTGTCCCTTTTGGAACATATTTAAACTGTAAGTTTAGTTTCTTTAATAGGTAAAAGACTAGGTTATCAACTTATTACTGAATTTTGGAAATCTGGATTTGTCAAGAAATTGAGACATTTAAGTCATCTTATTTATGTGCATAGATTGGTTTGTGGTAGTACCTTATTATCATGTTGATGTCTGTGAATGAGTGGTGATATTCCCCTGTCATTTCTGGTAATGGTACTTTTTCACTTTCTTTTTTTTGTTTTGTTAATCTGGCTAGAAGTTGACCAATTTTATCAACATTTTAAAGAAGTAGATTTTGGTTTTATTAATTTTCTTTATTATTTTCCTGCTTTCAGTTTCATTGATTTCTGCTCTTATTTTTGTTTCTTTCTTATTTAGAAACTAGTTTAGTTTTCTTTCTAGTTTAAGGTAGATACATAAATTATTAATTTGAGGCCTTCTTTTCTAAAGCAAGTATTTAGTACCATCAATTTTCTTTAAGCACTGATATATACCCAGCCTCCTTAGAGATATGAACTATCAGCCTAAAAGACTTTTTACGTATCCACTATGCATAGAACATTTTGATATTAACTTTTTTGTTACTGATTAGTCTTTTTCTTTCAATTCTGAAATAATTTTCAAATAGGAAACTGCATTTGTTTTCAAAGTTGACTTATTACTCTCATTTTAATATCAAATGCTTGAAATCAATATAAAAAACTAGACACTAAAAACATTTAATAATTTTTACCTGAAACTTAAGCTTGCTTTCTCCTCCTTCCCGGTCTCGTTTATGCATATTCACCATTAAGGCTTCATAACAATCCTTCCAATAAAGTGCCATGTTCTCATGACCACCATAAAATGTAAGGGTTTCATATTGCTTCATGTAAGGCACAATCTTACAAAAATATACATATATACACAAAATTTAATACATACTTCTAATAAAAATGACAATAGAAAATTCACTCAAAATAGATAAAACTTACATATTTTTCAATGTAAACTTGCCATTCATTTGAACTGCAATATTCTTGAAAATCTTCAAAAAATGAAGAACTACCATTGGTAAAAGGTAAAGAAGGCAGGTGCAAGTTCATGAAGAGAAGCTCATAAATTTTGGAAACCAGGGTACGGATAAGGGGAATCAGAAATGAGTAGATTTCAGTCTGTTCCTTGATTGACTGACTTAGAACATGTTCCAGCTTCCCTAAAATGTAACATGCTTCATCCTGATTTTCAATCACTTTGGTCTGAAGAAGGGTGTTTAGCTTAGCTGATGCCATTGCACAAACCTGAGGAAAATAGTACAGGTGAGAAAGAACAAAATAAAGCAGACATTTAGCAAAAGATCTTTGGCTCTTCAAGTTTTGTTTGTTTAATAATTTTTTTTTAATGTTTGTTTATTTTTGAGACAGAGACAGAGCATGAACAGGGGAGGGGCAGAGAGAGAGGGAGACACAGAATCGGAAACAGGCTCCAGGCTCTGAGCTGCCAGCACAGAGCCCAACGCGGGGCTCAAACCCACGAACTGTGAGATCATGACCTGAGCTGAAGTTGGACACCTAACCGACTGAGCCACCCCAGTGTCCCTGTTTGTTTTTTTTAATCAATTATAAAAGCAGAATATACAGAAAAGGTATAGTGGATAATTAATCACCCAAACGTCTATTCCACTCTTCCTTATAGTGTGCAAGGACAAAGGAATTATACTAAATTTTTTTTTAATGTTTATCTATTTATTTCTGAGACAGAGAGGAGACACAGAATCTGAAGCAGGCTTCAAGCTCCAAGCTGTCAGCGCAGAGCCCGATGCAGGGCTCAAATCCACCAACCTTGAGATCTTGACCTGAACAGCAGTCAGATGCTTACTCAACTGAGCCATCCAGTCAACCCTAACTTTTCTACTTTTAACTGCTGAAGCTTTTCCATTCTCCTCAGACTTTCCAAATCTTTAACTTTAGTTTTTGAATCTGACTAAAGCAGCTTAATTCTAATAGAGACCAACAAATATAAGAAAAGAGGCCATAGGGGCACCAGGATGGCTCCGTCAGCTGAGCGTCTGACTTTGGTTCGGGTCATGATCTTTGGGTTCATGAGCTCAAGCCCCACATCGGGCTCGCTGCTGTCAGTGCAGAGTTCGCTTCAGACCCTCTGTCCCTCTCTCTCTCTGCCCCTCCCCAGCGTGCACTATCTCTCAAAAATAAACAAACATTAAAAAAAAGAAAAAAGGCCATAAAATTTCATCATACAGGAAATACCAGAACTAATAATTCTGGGCTTTTTTGCTATGTGTTTTAAAAAAAATTTTTTTTAATGTTTATTTTTGAGACAGAGAGAGACAGAGCGCAAGCAGGAGAGGGGCAGAGAGAGAGAGAGACAGAGAATCTGAAGCAGGCGCCAGACTCTGAGATGTCAGCACAGAGCCTGACACAGGGCATGAACCCATGAACTGCGAGAGCATGACCTGAGCCAAAGTCGGATGCTTAACTGACTGAGCCACCCAGGCGCCCCTACTATGTATTTTTTAAAACACTGTTTATATTGGGGTATCTGGGTGGCTCAGTCGGTTAAGCGTCTGACTTGGCTCAGGTCATGATCTCACAGTTCACGGGTTCGTGCCCCACATCGGGCTCTGTGCTGACAGCTCAGAGCCTGGCGCCTGCTTTGGATTCTGTGTCTCCCTCTCTCTCTGCCCCTCCCCTCCTCATGCTCTGTCTCTGCCTCTCAAAGAATGAATAACCATTAAAAAAAAATTTTTTTAAGTAAAATACCGTTTATACAAAACGTTAAACATCTAGTGCTTTGCTTTTAACTTAATACCATGGTATTAAATAATGTTCATATTTAGAAGTATAAAGATATTTCAATGAATACAAGATAATTTACTTGACCACTGCCTTAATTTTGGATACGTACACATGTCACATACAGATACATATGATCCCCCCTACCCCCATTATAAAGAGCACTGCATGAGGGTCACTTGAGAAACTACAAAAAATACTGATGCCCTATTTCCTCCTTTCTAATATAATTACTATGGGTGATGCCCCACAAGGTAATTTCATGTTCTCATCACTGGCTCAGGTAAGACAACTGGGGGAAGAGGAAACCAGAAAAATGGAGATCATATGCTGCATCTAAATAAATCAGCAACCACCTAGTCCTACTTTAGAGACAAGCTAGGAAATGTTGACATTTATGTGACATCTTCTAATACATACACACAGGCAATTAACTAGTAAGTATAAGCCACACAAAACAAGTTTGTAGTCAGAATGGCAAAGAACATTTATTATAACCCCTATAAGGGAAGAAGTTGCTTTCCCAGCCTTTAACATGTACAATAACCTCAGAGAAATGTGTTTTTATTCCTGAGAGAATAAAATTAAACAACTAGCCAGTAAAAAATGTTTTAGGTTACTAACTACTGGTAAACAATCCATAGGTTCTGTACTCTTTACTTAACAAGTATTTATAGAGGCCTACTATGGGACAGGCATTGAAATATTTAATGGTGAACAAATTAAACAAATAGGTATTTATGGAAATTTCATTAAAGAGAAACACTGAGAGTAATTATAAGTGGGGGAAAAAAAACAACCCCAAAACCAAGAGTTCTCATATCCACCTGGCATGCTGGCTGCAACTGCTTTAACAGCCATCAGGCTAATATTAATGAAAAGGCCCCAAAAACTACTTTCATTCTATCTCTCGGTAGAAAAAACCCGAGAATACCACCATGAACATCCATCAAGGCTGTTTGGTATTTTACATTATTATTTTAGGATATACTTTTAGACTAGAAATACTAGACAAAGAGTGTGATTGTTTTTTTAAATACATATATTTTCAAATTACATTTGAATGGATACATAATTCAAGGTTCCACAATCCATGTATCAGCAAGCAAATCTTATTTATTTAGCTTTTCTGTGTTTTCCATGTTTCTACAATGAATATGTTACTTTTATGATTAAGAAAAAAACCCCACTATTTTAAAAAATTTCTTTTGCGATTTTAATTTTATTTTTATTTATAAAAATAGCGCACAACTGGGGGAGGGGAGAGAGGGGGAGAGAGGGAGAGGAGGGGGAGAGAGGGAGAGGAGGGAGGAACGAGAGAGAGAGAGAGAGACAGAGAGAGAGAGAGAGAGAATGAATCTCAAGCAGGCTCCACACTCAGTGCAGAGCCTGATGCAGGGCTTGATCTCATGACCCTGGGATCATTACCTGAGCTGAAATCAAGAGTCAAACACTCAACTGACTGAGCTACCACTCAGGAGCCCTCCAAAAAACCCAATGTTTAAAAAGTTAGTAATATGGGGAAAGGAATTCAATATAATTGTAAGAAAAAAAGAAAATAAAATTATCAAAATATATGATGTTTTCAATCATCTGAAAAAGATAAGTGCATAGAAAAATATTGACAGTTATTTCTTCTTGGGCTATGGGATGATGGATTTATTTTCTTCTCTTTATGTTTTTGTGTATTTTCCATAATGATCATGTTTTACTTTTACAATTAGGAAAAAATATCTATTGAAAATATGGCCTTTTAAAAATATGGCAACCTTATGGAATTTTAACCTCTCCATGTTATCAACATTACAGTAAGTTTATATATATTAGAAACCATCCCCAACCCTACCCCTTTGCCCCAAGTACTTGAAATTCCAAAATCGAAAGGAAATTAAAAGGGCCGGGTAAGTAGTTATGAGATACATGTCATGATTAACTCAACCCAAGTTCTCCAATATAAACCAAAAGTTGACAGACTAAAATTCATGTGCAAATTTTCCAACCTGTAACATTTTTTAAAAGAGTTTTTTCTTGGGGCGCCTGGGTGGCGCAGTCGGTTAAGCGTCCGACTTCAGCCAGGTCCGCGATCTGGCGGTCAAATGATTCCGAGCAGCGTCGACTCTGAGCTGATGGCTCGGAAGCAGGCCTATTCCAATTCTGTGTCTCCTCTCTCACACCTCCCAGTTACTCTGTCTCTCTCTGTCCCAAAAATAAATAAATGTTGAAAAAAAAAAAAAAATTTTTTTAATAAAAGTTTTTCTTAAGTTTATTTATTTTGAGAGAGAGAGAAAGAGAGACAGAGAGAGAGAGAGAGAGAGAGAGAGAGAGAATGAATGGGGGAGGGGCAGAAAGAGAAGGGGAGAGAAAATTATGAGGGCAGAGCTTAACAGAGGATCATGACCTGAGCCAAAACCAAGAGATGGATGCCTAACCAACTGAGCCACCCAGGCACATTCCCCAACCTTTAAAATTTTTAATTAAAGATAGAAATAATAAATATTCCTTGAGTCCATATTTTATTTATCTGTGTTTTGAAAACCTAGCACAATGCTCAAACTTGGTAGGTATTCACAGTAAGCATTTGATTAATTAAAAAATGAGATATAATGTAAAACTGTGGATTAGTAAAGTAACAGAAAAAGATCTGAAAGAAAAAAAAAAACTCACTTTTCCTCAAAATATAAGCCCTAAAGTTCACATGTATGAGTGACAAGTATAAATAGTCTAAGCAGGTTGTGTACTTCCTAGCTACACTACAGATGATATAATACCTCCTAATATAAGCTATGTATAAATCCTTTAAAAGGCAACGTTGAAATTATATTGAATCAGGAAGAAACCATCAATGAGCTGCCTCTGACGCTTCTTTCTGATTAACAAAACTGAAACATATATGCTTTTGGAACTAATAAAAAAATTAAAATGCTGAAAATTATTACCATTTAATATTAAATTATTAAATATTAATATATTAAATATTATCATTTAGTTATTACACAAATAATTCCTATACTGCATACAAAGTACAAAAAATAATGCAAATGAATTGACAAACCTGCACATTACCCATTCCAATGAATCCTAGAAGTAACTGGATTTGAACTTGAGAAAGTTGTGCCAATACTGAACTTTCAGAATACCAAACTGACAGACCATCGAAGAGCAGCATCAGATCCTCTAAAAGCTATCACAAGAGAAAAATTAAGAAATAAAAACATTCCATCTTAGAATCAACTGATGAGTTCTCCCCAACAGTAATACACATTATAAGTGTTTTCAAAACTAGTTTAATGTACAAATGGAAAAAGCCAAGAGAATTATCTTAGTAATAGCTAATGAAATTGGTTAACTGTTTATCCATGTTTGTTAAATCCAATTAAATTTTAATGCTCCAAAAAGGGGGTACAAAAGTTTTTTTCCTTGAATAAAGTGCTTGACTACAGAAAGTAATTTCAAAGTGTTATTTATTGCTGTACCTTTTCAGTCCACATGTTTGAATTAACAAGCCCCTCTGACTGCAGAAAGTCCTGTATGATCAGGATGAGCCGCAAGGCATTTTCAGCAGTTACTGGATTCGTGTTTGATTCTCTGTTTTCCATGACTGCCCATTCTAACATCTTCTGTAGCAAACTAAGTGCAAAACAAATCCTCTTAAAACCATTTTCAGCTTAGAAAAATAGTAAAATATGAAAAAAGTCAATTATTTGTTAATATGACTGTATTCCTAAAGATACAGTATCACAGGCAGGGATCCAAGGACATTGTAGATGGTATCTAATAACAATGAAGCAACTTTTTAATCTCTGAAGTATCTACCCTCAATAAGTATAATACAAAGGCAAAGTAAAAGTTATCTGTTCTACTTGACTATAAAAAAGCTATTAAAATATTTCAAATTCCAGTTTCTATAAGATAACTAAAAGTTTCTTTAAAGCTCTAAATTGGGAAGGCAAGGGGCGCCTGGGTGGCGCAGTCGGTTAAGCGTCCGACTTCAGCCAGGTCACGATCTCGCGGTCCGTGAGTTCGAGCCCCGCGTCAGGCTCTGGGCTGATGGCTCGGAGCCTGGAGCCTGTTTCCGATTCTGTGTCTCCCTCTCTCTCTGCCCCTCCCCCGTTCATGCTCTGTCTCTCTCTGTCCCAAAAATAAATAAAAAAATAAATAAATAAATAAATAAATAAATTGGGAAGGCAAGAAATGGCTTATTATGTCTTGCAGCGGGTCTAGCCCTGCAGAGAACTCTAAATGCTTTAGAGAAGTAATATCTATGAAAACACTATTTGCTTCCTTTAGCATGGAAATCCTCAAATTTGGACAGACTATAGAACACAATGCACTGAGTGCTTAGATATTATCAAAACTATTTTAAACAATAAGGAATATGTAATCCCTTAAACCCAAACTAAAGTTTTAAAGTTGGAATTACTTTTGGACTTCTCTCTAGATTCCACTAAAATGGCAACAGAGAGGAAAAGGAGCTGAGTACAAAGTTTCTCCTTTTCTCTCACTACACCTACTGAATCCTGAATAAATGTTCAATAAATAATATTATCTTAGACTCCAGACCACTCCAAAAGGAGAGGGTAAATCACCAAATAAATGCTTACATTAATTTTATTTCATCTGATGGTCGAAGTAGTTCACTGGATATTCCTGGTTTAGTTAGTGCTGAAAACACTTGTCCTCGTTCAATCCAAGTATTATTGTCTGACTTTTCTAGTCCCTTACACATTACATAGTTCAAAATATTTGTCAGTAATTGAAGAAGCTCCTCCTCACATCTCTGTAAAAAAAGATAAAGTAATATTAAATTATTGGAAGGAGGAAGTATTAAAAGCACATTAAAAGAACCATCCTATATAGTGACTGTAATTATTTAACATATTTTTAATGTGTCTTATGAACCAGGAACTTTGCTAGGTAGGCCCTAGCAATACAAGGATGAATACAACACCGGTTTTGCTCTCAAGACACAATTTAGTGACTTCTAGGCTTCCAAAATCTTATATCTTGAGACTTAGAACATGAGTATAATATGAAATTGTTAACAATCACACAATTCTAAGGACTAGAAATATATCATAGATGCATGAAAATAAAAACAGCTTTTGGACAAATAAGGAATTTTACCTCTTGGCTTTCAAGTAACGACAAGTCATCACTAAACCCCATATCATTTGTGATGCTGCTCTCTTTGTCAGATGGCACAGAAAATGATTTAGTAGATTCTATTGGGGATGGTGTACTAGGCAAGCTGTCTGGCATGTGACTTCCACTGTCGCTCAGTTCACACGAGTCTATTCCACTGAAATCTAAACTCAAATGTGAAGGATTATTATTCCAGAATTCTTCTTGATTCTCTGATTTGAAAGTTAATTCTCCCACAGAACTATCTTCTTGAAATAATGGTGTGTTTGAGTCTAGAGAGTGTCTATCCTCTAAACTCCACTGATCGGAAGACACATTAGCTGAGCCAAAAGAGTTGATTTTTTCCTCATCAGTCTTTTCGTCGAAGTTCCTCTTAAGATCTTCACCTACCACATTTTTATCATTGTCTTTCATTGAAAGAGCTCTACTGTGCTTATGAAGAGTATTTCCATTTTCAAAATTTGTTTTTAAAAAGAGCCTAACCAAAGTGTCTTGCCAACCCACTTGTTGAGATATTTGATGTGCTGCATCTGGCTGGGACTGCAAAATCTGTAAAATCTGTGAAGAGATTAAGAATACAAAACTCGTCAAAAAGTACACAGTACTTCACATCAAAACCAGTTTCTTCCCAGTTATTTTAATGACAAAGTAATTTAATGAGAAACTGTGGGAAGATACACTTTCAAAAGATTATGTTCTTAACTGGATTACAAATTATCTGGAGGGCACACACTGTGTTTTTTTTAATTTTTTTTTTTTTCAACGTTTATTTATTTTTGGGACAGAGAGAGACAGAGCATGAACGGGGGAGGGGCAGAGAGAGAGGGAGACACAGAATCGGAAACAGGCTCCAGGCTCTGAGCCATCAGCCCAGAGCCCGACGCGGGGCTCGAACTCACAGACTGCGAGATCGTGACCTGGCTGAAGTCGGACGCTTAACCGACTGCGCCACCCAGGCGCCCCTGTGTTTTTAACTAATCTGCATATTACTCATTGTACAGAGTACTTAAACATTTGCTGAAAGATAAAAAAGAAAAAAAATAAAATGATCCTCCACATGTCAACACTCATGTTATTAATTTAATTTGGTCAGAGAGAAAATATACATAGAATGAAGGTACATATAAAATGTAATAAAGTTATATCCTCTCAACTAAATACCTTCCATGAGCCTACTACATTTCTTTAGCAAATACTGAATATCTACTATGTACCAGGCCCTGTTCTGGCTCTAAGGTTAGCAGAGTAAATATGACACACAAATACTTCAATAGAACCTAGATATCCCAAGAATGTTTCCCCATCTCATTTTGTTTTTATGGGCAAAGTAAATGGCTACTTTTGCAAAAACTCCTTTTTTCCCATTAATTCTATCTTGAATAACGAACAAAATAAAAACTATTTTCTTTATTTATTTGAAAGAGAGAGAACGCAAGCAGGGGGGAAAGGAAGAGGGAGGAAAAGAGAGAGAGGGAGAGAGGGAGGGAGGGAGGGAGGGAGGGAAGGAGAAAGAGAGAGAGAGAGAGAAAAAGAGAGAGAGAGAATCTTAAGCAGTCTCCACACTTAGCATGGAGTCCAAAATGGGGCTTGATTCCACAACTCTGGGATCATGACATGAGCCGAAATCAAGAGTCAGACACTCAACCAACTGAGCCACCCAGGCACCAAAGAAACTATATTTTAATTTGAAAACACTAACTCCAATAAAATGGATACTGCTATTTAGCTGGAAATAGAAACTGAAATTAAAGAATACACACAGAAATGTCAATGAGTATAATCTCTACTATCCAACTCATTTCCCATTTTTGGATTAAAACAGGTTCTCAAACACTGTCAGGTATTCAGTTAAGACCCTTAAGACATTTTTATCACAAAGACAATAAACTTCTATGTAGATGAAAAGAAATTTTGCTCCCAGTATTTAGAAAATCTCTTTTATCGGGGCGCCTGGGTGGCGCAGTCGGTTAAGCGTCCGACTTCAGCCAGGTCACGATCTCGCGGTCCGTGAGTTCGAGCCCCGCGTCAGGCTCTGGGCTGATGGCTCGGAGCCTGGAGCCTGTTTCTGATTCTGTGTCTCCCTCTCTCTCTGCCCCTCCCCCATTCATGCTCTGCCTCTCTCTGTTCCAAAAATAAATAAAAACGTTGAAAAAAAAAAATTAAAAAAAAAAAGAAAATCTCTTTTATCTCTGACAAGTTTCATAGGAGATGAATAATACTGATAGGGACTTTAATATCAATGGCTCTAATGCATGCTGATGCTAATATAGAAAGCAATTAGTCACAATGATGTGATGTTTTCCTTTCCTTCGTTGTGATAGGTGAGCTACCACTATTCTAGTGATAGAAAATACCATTTTTTCCCCACAGCAAAGAAATTTTCGTGATTTCATAATTTTAAAATTTCCATAAGGGGCGCCTGAGTGGCTCAGTTGGTTAAGTGTCCGACTCTTGATTTCAGGTCAGGTCACGACCTCACAGTTTGTGGGTTTGAGCCCCCCATCAGGCTCTGCACTAAAAGTATGGAGCCTACTTGGGATTCTCTCTCTCCCTCTCTCTCTCTGCCCCTCCTCCTTCACTGTCTCTCTCAAAAATAAACTTAAAATAAAATATCCATAAAATTACTTATTTTATGTTCATTTTATATACATGTAATGGATAAAAACTAGGCTGCACCAAAAGTTGTTTTCAAACTGAAAGGAAAGGATCAATCTATATGGCCTGCTTCAAGGACAATATGGTAAAATCCATCAAAATGCAAAATGTGAGTACCTTCTGAGACAGCAATTCCATTTCATGGATTAGGTCCTACAGATATATTACCAAAAACAGGTAAAAGTATATGTAAAAAAGTGTTCTTAACAGAAGTTTATTAACATATAAATGTAGGAGACAATCTAAATGTCCATGTACAGGGAACCAGGTAATACTTCATACAATAGTCATAGAATGAAAAACTCTATGAGGCCAGTAAAGAGAAAGATACATATACAGACTTATAATGGAAAAATACTGTAACATAACTAAGAAGTAAAATTAAAAAGAAAAACAAGAAAATAAATCAAATAGTGGTCAGAGGTTAACAGCAGGGAAGACAGAAAGTTATAATTAGGAAGAAGCACACAGGATAACTAGTTCTTGACTTAGTTAAAAGTTAAAGGAGTACATTCTCCTTGCTAAGTCACTCTTGCTTTTCCACGAAGTTCAAAAGATTAACTCTAAAATATGGTATATGAATTAGAAATGGTTTTTATCTTTGAAAGTTCTTGACAAACTATTCTCTTGTAATAAATCTTTTACTGGGGCAAGGGCATATTTCCAGGTGACTACATGAGGCTAAGAAGAAGCACATTTTTGTGGTTACATGAAGTTAATTCACCTCAAAAAAGGAAACTATTTAAAAATCGTGCCATTTATAAAATAACAGATATTAAAACTTATACCTGGTATAAAATACTCAATATATAAGCTATTCACAGTATGACAATATTGTTACTTCTAAAGTGTATTTCAATTTTTTTAACATTTACTTTTGAGAGAGAGAGAGAGTGCGAGTGGGGGAGAGGCAGAGAGAGAGGGAGAAAGAAACTGAAGCAGGCTCCAGGCTCCAAGCTGTCAGCACAGAGCCCGACATGGGGCTTAAACTCATGCACCACGAGATCATAACCTGAGATGAAGTCAGACGCTTAACCAACTGAGCCACCCAGGCACCCCTTTAAAGTATATTTTAAAAGTTCACTAACCTTTCTGCAGATAACCACCCTGACATTTATATGTGTCCTGTGAGATATATATACCATGGACAACAGATCTTTGAAATTAATAGCAGGATCTACAGTGGGGAAAAAACAAAAAGTTAAAATTAAATTCCAGAGATAGCCAAAAAACTATGAGTGATGGTTAATGAAATAACTGTTTTCATTTTTATTTTATTTTTCTTGCTGTCAACAATTCACAGCCTTTGGTTTTTTCTAGCTTTGCTAAGATATAATTGACATAAAACTGCATAAATTTAAGGTGTAAAACATGATGATCTGATATTCGTATATATTGTAAAATAATTACCACAATAAGATTAATTAACATCCATCACCTCACATAGTTACCATTTTCCTATCATGGTGGTAACTTTTAAGATCTGCTCTTAGCAATTTCAAGTCCATAATACAGCATTGTTAACTATAGTCACCATGCTGCACATCAGATCCCAGAACTTATTCATCTTATAACTGGAAGCGTGTACCCTTTGACCACCTCATTCATTTGCCCCACCTCCCACCCCACCCCAGCAACTAGCAATCTGTTCTCTGTTTCTAGGAGTTTGGTTTTTTTTAATTTCTCAACATACGTGAGACCGTACAGTATTCGTCCTTCTCTGACTTAATTTCACTTAACATAATAATGTCTTGCAGGTTAATGTGTTACAAATGGCAGGATTTCCTTCTTTGTTGTGGCTGAATAATATTCTTTTATATATACATATACACACACACATAACACATTCTTTATCCACTTATCCATCAGCAGACGCTTACGCTATTTCCATGTCTTAGCCATTATAAACGATGCTACAATGAACATGCAGATAATTCTTTGAGATAGTGATTTCATTTTCTTTGGATATATACCCAGAAGATGGATTGCTAGATCATATGATAGTTCTATTTTTAATGTTTGGAGGAACCTCCATACTGTTTTCTATAATGGCTGCACTAATTTGCATTCCCAGCATCAATGGACAAGGGTTCCCCTTTCTCCATAACTTCACCAGCACTTGTTATCTTTTGTCTTTTTGATAATAGCCATCTTAACATGTAAGACCTGCTATCTCCTTCTGGTTCTGATTTACATTTCCCTTATGATTAAAGATGTGGAGCACCTTGTCATCTACCTGCTGGCTACTTGTATGTCTTCTATGCAAAAACTGTCTATTCAGGGGGCAGCTGGGTGGCTCAGTCATGATCAAACAGCTCGTGGGATCGAGCCCCCCTCAGGCTCTGCGCTGTTGGCGTGGATCCTGCTTGGGATTCTCTCTCTCCCTCTCTCTCTGCCCCTCCCTGCTTGTGCTCTCTCTCTCTCTCAAAATAAATAAATAAAACTTAAAATAAGTCTCATCGGGTCCTTTGCTCATTTTTTTAACATTTTTTTATTTTTTGAGAGAGCGTGCACATGTGCATGTGCACGCAAGTGAGGGAAAGACAGAAAGGGAGGGAGAGAGACTCCCAAGTAGACTCTGAGCTGTCAATGCAGAGCCCAGCGTGGGGCTGGATCCCACAAACCATGAGAGTGTGACCTGAGCAGAAACTGAGTCAGATGTTCAACCGAGTGAGCCACCCAGGCACCCCCTTTTGCTCATTTTTAACTGGATTTTTTTTTGCTATTATATTATATGATTTCCTTATGTATTTTAGATATTAACCTCCTCTCAGATATTTGAGTCACAAGTATTTTCTCCCACCCTGTAGACTGCCTTTTCATTTTGTTGGTGGTTTTTCTCACTGTGCAGAAGCTTTTTAGTTTGATGTTGCCTCACTTGTTTATTTTGCTTTTGTTGCTAGTGCTTTTGGGGTCATATCCAAAAAGTCATTGCCAAGACAAATGTCAAGGAGCTTTTCCTTATGTTTTCTTCTAGGAGTTATATGGTTCAGGGTTTACATTTAAATCTTTAATCCATTTCAAGTTAATTTTTGTGAGTAGTGTGAGATAGGGGTCCATTTTCATTCTTTTGCATATGAATATCCAGTTTCCCAACACCATTCATTGAATAGACTATTTTTCCTCCACTGAGTATTCTTGGATCTCTTGTCAAATATTAGTTGACCAGATATACATTGTTTTATTTCTGGGCTCTCAATTCTGTTCCAATGGTGTATGTATGTTTCAATTACTCTAACAGTTTGAAATCAAGAACCATGATGCCTCCAGCTGCATTCTTTTTGAAGTTCTCTCTCAAAGAATGAACTGGGGGTAACAGTTACATAAATGCTGAAATAACTCTCATTTAAAACAAGGATTATACATATGTTTAAATCTTGCAAAGAAAATAGATTTAGAATGTTTGACATTCTCCTGAGTAAGCCTAACTGTTCTTTTCTTTTATTGCCTGAAAATACTATCCATACTGTTATAATATCCATATTATTTATCTTTTTATGTACATATCTTATATCTTATGTACTTGTCTTATCAATGAGAAGGTAAACCAATCAAAGCGAAGAACCTTATCTTATACCTTTTAAACCCCCAGCATCTGACATAAACACTATAGTTTGTCCTAAGTACTAAAAAAGTTTTATTAAAAAAAATGAGAAGCAAAAAAGAATATCTGAAATTAAGGATTTACGCTCCCTAAAGGAAAAGATAAAATGTTTTGTATGTATTTTCTCTAGCATCTTTTCCTTATAGAGAACTCAATTATTTACTAATCAATCAGTAAATTTCTACTGAAGGCCTATGGCACTATGCTATGCCCTGGGGAGATAATAACAAAAAAGATAGATAAAAAATAGTACCTAATGAAGCCCTGCTGAATCAAATAACAGGTAATTTAAAAAGTAACCTGAGGAAGGAAGGGAAAAAAAAAACCTTCAAGAAAAAAACTGAGAATATCAAATACAATTATGCTACTATGAAGAACATTTCTTAAATATATCAGTATTATCAGCCTTAGTCATACCTGTATTTATAATTTGATTGGTGAGGCTTTTAATGAGATTGGCATTAACGGGTGCTTCATTAAGAAGAAGTCCCAATCCTGAATAGCCAACTTCTCTGAGCCGAATGCGCTGTTTACTTCGTTCATAAACATTCGTGCATTTCAACATTTGTTCCATAACCTGGTTACAACAGTAATATATTTTTCTCAACACAGAGAACTAAGGACAGTCTGTCACTATTTAAAATAATTTAAAATTTCCTTTTTAATGGCTAAGGCTTAGATGGAAACAAACCCTACAGCCTCCAAGAAGAACAAAGATATGTTACGAAAGAAGAAAAAGATACTTCTAGATCAATCTCATAATTTGTATAACACTTATGTAACAGTTATCAAAATAATTTTCGAGAACAAGGAAACATTTTGTAAAGGAAAACAACCATATACTAAAATGGGAGAATGAATTAATAATCCCATACCTCTTGCAGTGAGATCGACATTTAAATTTTTTTTTTTTTTCAACGTTTATTTATTTTTGGGACAGAGAGAGACAGAGCATGAACGGGGGAGGGGCAGAGAGAGAGGGAGACACAGAATCTGAAACAGGCTCCAGGCTCTGAGCCATCAGCCCAGAGCCCGACGCGGGGCTCGAACTCACAGAGTGCGAGATCGTGACCTGGCTGAAGTCGGACGCTTAACCGACTGCGCCACCCAGGCGCCCCGAGATCGACATTTAAAAGTGAAACACTGAAACCCTAGGTACAGGGTAATTTTGGCAGAGTATCATGAACAATCCATATAAGGTCATTTTTGGAGAAATAACATTTAATCTCCATAAAGGAAAGCTTATTTGGGCAGATGCTTTGAAGAACAGCCATGGGGGGCACCATAATTGATACTCAAGAGAGCCTATGCCAGATCATTTTTATTACACCCTTGTTTTCCAAAGTTTCGGGATTCCAAACACAGTCAATCCAAACTTGACCCCATAAGTAGACTTTATAACATAACACTAATGATATAAGAGGAAACAACTGCCACAAGCAATTAGGCATAATGAGTAGAATAAATCATGAAAAGTAGAAATAGGACCAGTTCCTCTATTTTTTAACAAAAAAGGTTAAGTGGGTAGCTTCAACCGAAGCTCAAACTGACTACTTTGGATAGCTTAACAAAATATTCAATATCTTCTGACAAGTTACCAACCTCTCTGGCCTCAGTTTCTTTATCTGTAAAATGGGAATAATAATATTCACTTCATAAGGTTTTTGCAAGGACTAAGATAGCTAATATATGAAGAATATATTACTACCTGACAAATAGTGGTGCTACATAAAGTCAGTTATTACTATTAACTGCTAAAATGTCTGACCTGCCATGAAGACCCATGGTAAGTCAAGAGACAGAACCAAACGAGTGAAAGGGAGTGGGAGGTATAGGCTTCCAGTTAGCTCACAGGAATAAAAGGTACAGCACAGGGAATATAGCCAATGGCATTGTAATACGTTATATACTGACAAATGGCAGCTAGACTTGAGGTGAGCAAAGCATAATGTATAAACATGTAGAATCACTACGTTGTATGCTTAAAACTATTATAATACTGTGTCAATTATGCTGAAAAAAAATGTTTTTAAAGAAGGCAAAAAACGGATGATAAGTTTTATACAGAGAATGATATAACCAAGTGGATTTTCCACTGAAATAATTGATCAGATATCCATACAGTTTTTAAATATTCAAACAATAAAAACACAAAAAACATGTATCAAAACAAACTGAACAGTTTAAAATTAGATAGAAGTAGGTATGAAAAAAGAATTTACATTCATAAAATGAATATTTACAATTCATATACTCACAAATATCCCCAAATATAAAGATGTTTAAGAAATGTTTATACCTTAAAAATGATTTCTCTTAGTCTGTCAGAGTACTTCTGATTTAAGAGCAAGGCATAAAGTATGTCAGCATTTCCTGGTTCAAACAGCAGTAAGAAAAGCTGACCTCTAGTTGGGCTGGTACGCAGGAGACTGAAGAGCATATCCAAAATTCCAAAGAGCTTTCAAAATTAAACAGCACAAAACAAACAACCACATTCATACATGGAAGCACAAATACAGTCATAAACCACAGTTATTTATCTAAATCATATATACCCTAACGTTGTAGCTTAACTGGACTATCTGATGTCTTATGAAATAGCCCTGCCTCCTACCTCCATTATGCTTTTGGCTTGTTTCCTTTTGTGTAATCCTCTCAACCCACATATTCACCTGCTGAATATACCTATAGTGCTATAACCACATGAAAAGCCATGTCTTCCATAAAGCCTTTCCTGGTCTCCTCAACATGCAATATTCTCTTATGCAAACCTCATAGGACTTTGTATCTCTCTTACAAATATTATTATATTCTTTTTTTGTTTGTTTCAAGATTATTTATAAAGCTCTCTTACCTACCCTTGCCTCCATTAGGCTAAAAGAGTGATATAACTCATTATTATATACCTATAATATCTTACTATGATTCTGTGTAAGTAAGCTTTCAGTAAATAACTCTTTGACTAAATTGACCAAGAAAACACCATTGGCAATGAATCACAGCAGGTGGCAATACAGCTATTATGAAATAAGGTAACTATTATTACTCTAAATAAAAACAAGCTTCTGAAGTAGTCTAACCTTACAGAGAAACAGCATAAGTTAACTCATCTATATAATATTAATGATGAAGTCCTGTAAGCACTGAGTACACAAAGAATACTTCATCGAAAAGCACAAAATATTTGAGTCAATATAAATTAAGGCTGCTCAAGTTTGGTGTTGAGAAAGAGCACAGAAATAGCAGTAAATATACTTGGGTTCTATTCCTAGGTTTGTCAGCTGTATGACTTTTTAAGTCACCTAATCTTTCTGAATATATACTTCCAAATGTGCAAATGGGAAGGTTACTTCCTGGTCCATATATTTAAAAAAATTTTTTGGGGGCGCCTGGGTGGCGCAGTCGGTTGGGCGTCCGACTTCAGCCAGGTCACGATCTTGCGGTCCGTGAGTTCGAGCCCCGCGTCGGGCTCTGGGCTGATGGCTCAGAGCCTGGAGCCTGTTTCTGATTCTGTGTCTCCCTCTCTCTCTGCCCCTCCCCCGTTCATGCTCTGTCTCTCTCTGTCCCAAAAAAAATAAATAAACGTTAAAAAAAAAAAAAATTTTTTTTATGTTTTTTAAATTTATTTTTGAGAACGAGACAAAGCACAAGCAGGAGAAGGGGGGAGAGAGGGAGAGAGAGAGAGAGAGAGAGAGAGAGAGAGAGAGAGACACAGAATCCAAAACAGGCTCCAGGGCTCCAATCTGTCAACACAGAGCCTGACACAGAGCTTGAACTCACAGACTGTGAGATCATGACCTGAGCCGAAGTTGGATGCTTAACCAACTGAGCCACCCAGGCGCTCCCTTGTCTGTATATTTTATATCAGTGGTTTGCAAATTTTACCATGTGCCACAATCACCTAGAAGACTTGGTTCAGCAGTTTTGCATTTCTAACAAGTTCCCAGGTAATTATGGTCAGGAACCATACACTGAGAACCACTGTCTTACAGAGTAGTTCTGAGGTATAAATGAAATGAATAATGTATATATAAAAGTACCTAAAAATAGAAATATAATTTACTCTTTATGCAAGATTTTTATAAACCTATGTTAAATTCATGTTAGAAATCTGTCCAGTATCTTTGATAACAGGTAAACGTATATTATGTGGCCTATAAAAATAGTCTTCAGAAGTGCCAAAGCAACTACTTCCAGATACTACTTTCTAGCTACTTAAAATATTTTATTACATTACCAACTACTTTATTAAACTTATAGTTAGGAGATAAAATTTACTTCTTCAACTGCATAATATTGTATTATATCTAATAAACATTTTACTCTTAAAGTATGTTTAAAAAAATTTTTTAATGTTTTTATTTATTTTTGAACAGAGAAAGACAGAGCATGAGCAGGGGAGGGGCAGAGAGAAGGAGACACAGAATCCAAAGCAGGCTCCAGGCTCTGAGCTGTCAGCACAGAGCCTGACACGGGGCTCAAACTCACAGAGTGTGAGATCATGACCTGAGCTGAAGTCAGACGCTTAACCGACTGAGCCACCCAGGTGCCCCTAACATATGTTTAATATATATGTAATTTTAAAAGAAGATGATGTAGCAACTTAAGTGTGGGGGGAAAAAGTTATCTGGAGCATGATACCTGTTCTTCTTCATTGATAGCAGCTATGTAACCCATAATACTTTGTATCTCTTCATGAGTTCCACCTTTGCACAGAAAATATTTAATTAGTCCATACAAAGAAGTCCTTATTGTTCGAATGTCATCTACAGACAGCTCACTGTATTTACAATCACTCCTGGAAAAGAAAGTAAAATGCGAGAATTGAAATTTAAAATTTTTATAGTTTAGTGCTTTTTTATACACAAGAATTCATAGTATAAAAAAAGATGTGTCCATGTCTCATGGTATCTGTTTTTTCTTTTTAAGGAAAACCTTTTAAAGCTAGGAGTTGCAATGACAAAGATAAAAATAGTTAAAACAGCTTCTTTTATTTATTTACTTACTTACTTATTTATATTTTAGAGACAAAGCACACATGAGCAGGGGAGAGGGAGAGAGAGAGAATCTCAAGCAGGCTCCACACTCAGTGGAGCCTCATGTGGGGAGCAATCCTATGACCCTGGGATCATGACCTGAGCCAAAATCAAGTCAGACGCTCAACCGACTGAGCCACTCAGAGGCCCCTAAATAGTTTATATATATTTAAACAATACTAAGGAGAAGACACAGTTGTAAGTGCTTTACACATTCTTAATTCTTTAGTTTAATCCTCAAAACAACCATAGGGTGTCACAGGTTTATTATCTCCTTGTCACAGACACAACTTAAGCACAGAAATTTGAGTAAGTTACCTACAGCCAGTTGATGAAACATAAGATTCAAACCCAATATATGTGATATTGTTCATCATTTTAACCTCCACATTTTCCTGTATCTCTGAAGTTAAAGGATATTAGAATTTCTGGAAAATAAATAATCTAGAAATTCCAACCCAGTGGCAGGCAGAAAACAGTATCGAACTGAGAAGGAACAAGGACATCATACCCATAATAAATCCTAAGTGTATCTAGGAGAAACTGCACACCGTACTTCTTTCGGAAAACTCTCCTGCTGTCTTTGATGATGGTGGAAAGATACTGTATATGACCTAAAATACAAAGTTCGCTCTTAAATGATATGCCTAAAATAAAATCCCACAAATAGTTATAAATTTCTAAAACAATTGTAAAATTTGATCCAACAGCCTGCTCTCTCACCAATTCGGAAGGGAAAATCTCCACGGTTCCAAATACGAAAGTCAAAGAGTAAATACTGATACATTTGTTGCAGGAGCTGCATATTTTTCTCTAATGATACCTGTTCAATTAGTAACTGAATTGCCATCAATACATTAACATCCATCAAGGCACTTGGCACCTGAAATCCAAACAGATGAGGGCTCTGTAAATTTCAGCTTAATTATCATTAAGCTACATTTAAATTACAAATGATTAATTCAGAATATCTACTAAGTATGAAAATCTCTGTTACAAAAATATAAACAACTTAAACTTTAATTTTTCCAATGTCTGCCAGAACATATTTTCCTAATGTCATATTCCTAAAATCATATTTAACAAAGATCCCAAATACCAATGTTAACAAAGCCCTATATATAAAAATTATACACTATTATGTAAGATTACTAATTCTTGTAAAAATGTGATTAAGAGTAGGATAAAATACCTGCTTGTGAAATAAAATTACATCCACTAATATAAATGAAGCCATAGTAGTGTAATTTAAAATAATATTTACCTAGTAGGAAAAAAAACCCTAAAGACAAACTGCTAATTACAATCATTAGCCACATCTGCAAATTTGTTAAATTTGTGCTGACCTTCTGAAGTAAGGCACCAAGAGTGGCAACTCCATGGGAGTGAATAAGATTGTCCTGGTTGATGGGATGTCTTTGAATAAAGTGTTTCACAATCAAGATAAATGTTGCAATTAGATTTCTCTCTAATCTTGACTCTGAGGAATTGTGAACATGTCATTAATGATCATATTACTCTAAATAATTTTTATAACACATTTTCTATATCATAATGCAAATAGTAACAAACAAGAATTTGGTTGAGCAATTTGCCTCCAAAGGTCATTTGCAGAATGCAAATATCAGAGAAAGCAGCAACTGCATATTGTATACTTGCATGCACATGGAAACATTTTTTTCTACCATAAGTTTAGCAATGCTGTTATATTTCCATTAACAGGAGAAACTGAGGACAATCAAGAGTAAAACGAACATCTTAATTTTTTTGACTAAAGTATTAATGAATTTTTTGAATTACATTAGTAAAATTAGGGATGGGCTGCTTCAGCTACAAATGGTTAAATTTCTTCCTAAGGGTGGCAAGACATTTTAACCTATTTTTCAATTAATTCTCAAATTTCTCAATGACTATTGTGTGTTAATTTCATCTTAATACCTGAAGCCTTTGTGGAGGTCAATACCACCCAATCTCCTTCTACAGGTGTTACCAATTCAGAAACTGTACTTTCATTCATTCCTTCAGAAATCTGTCCTTCACCAAAGTGGCTGATTTGTTCCAACAGAGGAAACAGTACATTTAATCCACCTATACAATTTATGATGTCCTAAAAAGAAAATTACAATCTTTTAATCTTATAAAACAAGAGCAATTTTGTCATTTAACACCCACACAGCATGTGTGACATTAAAAATGTGCTGAACTTTCAGGCAATGTACAAGATAGCCTTAAGCTAAAGGAACCTTAATTCAGGGAAATGCTTTGAAGAGTAGCCACAGGGTGGGAAGGTGCACAGGGTGGGGGACACCTGGATGGCTCAGTAGGTTAAGCGTCCCGCTCTTGATCTCAGCTCAAGTCTTGATTCAGGATTGTGAGTTCAAGACCCATGTTGGGCTCCATGCTGGGCATGAAGCTTACTTAAAAAAAAAAAAAAAATGTAGCTAGGGGGATTCACCATAATTAATACTCAAGAAACACTATGACAGACCATTTTTATCACACCTTTGTTTTCCAAAGTTTAGGGATTCCAAACACAAGCAATCCAAACTTGACCCCATAAGTAGACTTTATAATGTAACACTAATGATATGAGGAAACAACTGTCATAAGGCAATTAAGTATAATAAACAAAATAAATTAAGAAAAAAATCATTTGGTGGTAGAAATATGACTGACTCCTCTACTTTTAGTTAACAAAGAAGTTGAAGTGGGTGCCTCTGAATGTCAAAATGACTATTTTGAATAGCTTAACAAAATACAGTCCATATTCTTTGACAAGTTAGTAATCTCTCTGGCCTCAGTTCCTTCATCTGTAAAATGAGGATAATAATTCCCACTTTGTAAAGTTGTTACCAGGATTAAGTAAGCTAATAAATGAAAATGAACTGGTACTACCCACCCAAGGTTAGCCATTATTAAGTGCTAAAATATTCTGATCTGCCATCTAGAAAGTTTCATTCTTTACACAACCCTCTTCATACTTTTTGTCTTCATGCTGATATTTTTTTTAACATTTAAAAAAGTATTTTATCTCTGAGAGAGAGAGAGAGTGAGAGAGAGCGCACACGCAAGCAGGGGAGGGGCAGAGAGAGGGGGACAGAGGATCTGAAGCAAGCCCTATGCTGACAACGGTGATCCCGATGCAGGGCTTGAACTCACAAACTGCGAGATCATGACTTGAGCTGAAGTCAAACACTCAATCACCCCTTTCATGCTGATTTTTAAAAGCTATGTATAGTAAGCAAATTAAGTTTTTGGATGGCAAGTATTTTTTTTTCAGTTGTCACGTAACTTTTTTTGTGTTTGATTGTGCTGCAGTATAAAAATACAATGATCCTTTTCTTGTTAACTCTGATCCCATATGATTTCCCCATAGCTGTACCTCAAGGCACCAAAAATTACTTTGATTTTTAAGTATAATGTATGGCACAAATAATCAGCTTTCTATATATTAGTGATACATGAGAACTAGCCTTGTAAAACCAATCTTATAAGTGACAGCAAAAGTTAACTTATGAAAGGGCAAATGCTACATATCTTACTATTTTAACAGATATGATTAAGTGGTCTTATCTCACAAAGAGAAAAATGCTTTATACCACATAACATGAGACTAACATTAATTAATGGATTCATTTTTATATAGGCAGAACTATCCTAATAATGTCTGTTCCATTGAAACAATAAGCATATTTGATTGGTGTTAACTGAGGACAAGATAAAACGGATTTTTTGCTGATTTATCAGCAAGTCCCCTTAAAATATCTTTTATATTTCTTTTGATTTTACTTAAGCTATAATTTCTATTTAAGAAAGATCTTTTAGAAATAGGATATCTCTGACTTGACTTTCACAGTAATCTAAATAACCTTTATTAATTTAGTCACTCAGTCAAAATGTTATTGCATATCCCTGTACCAGGCACTGGTGAAAAAAGCAGTGGTACCTCTTTTCAAAGTTCTTAAGGACTACTGGAGAATCAAGCTCTAAATTACCAAGCAAATTATTATTCATCACACTAAGTGAAATGATAAACTATTGTAAGTATTCATGACAAGAGCAGTTAACTCAGTCTTGGAAAATAAGCAGAGGCCTCTATATAGAACCAAAGACATTATGTCCAACTGTCACATATATATGAGGCACATCCAGAAGTCAGACAAGATATGACAGCTCCAGAGGGGGATGTGGGGAAGAGGAAAAGTCACTTATCTTTAGCCTTAGGGAGGAAAGATCGAAGTATGTTAAAAGCTAATAGACGGGAGACTGTTGACAGAAGCATGTGATACAGGAGAAAAGGGATAATCAATGAAGTCTCTGAGAAGGTAAAGGATGAAATCTGTCACATAGTTTTAGGAATGAAATACCTTAAAAGTGGAGCAATGATTTTAAGGTAGTATTATTTTTCTTAAGGAAACTGTTAAACAGTTTAAGGAGGTAACTAAGTTTCAAGCAAATTAGTCCTTCAACTACTTAATTGTTTATACCTCAAACTGTATATCTTGCTTGCAAACATTTTCACTGAGACTTATTATTCAGATCAACCTGGTGGTGCTAAAAAGACAAATTCTTTAAAAGGATCTGTAAACTTACATAAGACGTTGCTCATCATTAACTTACCTTAATGTCCCAGTTCACTACTTTGTTTCCTGTTAATCTTCCATGCAAACAATTAGTAGATAAATCAAGACAGATTGAATTTTTGCAAGCCTAAGAATAAAAGGAAAATATGGCCAACAGCTAAGCACAATGAAGACAAAAACATAACTTTATATATGAAATATTTCACCATAATTTAAAATGATAAAATGCTTACAATATTAAGTTTAGTCCTGCTATTCTCATTGCCTCTTAAAAGAATCAGGGACTAGATTCTACTTTTTCTTTTAAATATAAATTATTGTCATATTGGTCTCCATACAACACCTAGTGCTCATTCCAACAAGTGCCCTCCTCAATGCCCATCACCCACTTTCCCCTCTGCCCACTCCCCATTAACCCTCAGCTTGTTCTCAGTATTTAAGAGTCTCTCATAGTTTGCCTCCCTCCCCGTTACTTTTTTTTCACCATTCCCCTCCCCCATGGTCTTTTGTTAAGTTTCTCAAGATCCACATGAGTGAAATCTGACTGATTTATTTCACTTAGCATAATACCCTCCATTTCCATCCACGTTGCTGCAAATGGCCAGATTTCATTCTTTCTCATTGCCAAGTAGTATTCTATTGTATATATAAACCACATCTTCTTTATCTATTCCTCAATTGATGGACATTTAGGCTCTTTCCATAATTCGTCTATTGTTGAAAGTGCTGCTATAAACATTGGGGTACATGTGCCCCTATGCATCAGCACTCCTGTAAGGGACTAGATTCTAAAGGACTCACTCATCAAAAGCAGGTCACTTCTACTTGTCACCTGATAGAAGAGCTATAGCAACAAGTTACTCACCCATCACTGGAATTTACAATTTTTTCTCTTTTAAGAACAAATTGATAGTGGTCAGAGGGGAAGGGAAGGGAGTGAGGGTGGGGAGGGATGGGCAAAATGAGTGAAGGGGAGTGGGAGATCCAGGCTTCCAGTTATGGAATGAGTAAGCCACAGGGATGAAAGGTACAGCACAGGAAATACAGTCAGTGGTATTGTAATAGTGCTTATGGTGACAGACAAGAACTACACTTGTGGTGAGCACAGCACAATATACAGACTTGTCAAATCACTGTGTTGTACACCTGAAACTAATGTAACATTGTGTGTCAACTAAACTTCAAAAAAATTTTGGGAGGGCGCCTGGGTGGCTTAGTCAGTTAAGCATCTGACTTGGGCTCAGGTCATGACCTTGAGCTTCAAGAGTTCGAGCCCTGCATCGGGCTCTATGCTGGAGACCCCTTCCAATTCCGTGTCTCCTTCTCTTTGGCCCTCCCACACTCGTACTCTCTTCCTTCTCTCAAAAATAAACATTAAAAAAAAATCTTTAAAAAATAAAAAATCCTATAAAGTTAAAAAAATTAAAGTTTTAAACCAACTTATGCAAACAGCTTTTGGCTATTTATTTATTTTGAGGGAGAATGAGCAAGCAGGATAGAGGCAGAGAGAGAGGCAAGTGGGACTTGATCCCATGAATCATGAGATCATGATCTGAGCTGAAATCAAGAGTTGGATGCTTAGGGGTGCCTGAGTGGCTCAGTCGGTTAAGTGTCTGACTTCGGCTCAGGTCATGATCTCACAGTTCGTGAGTTCAAGCCCCACATCGGGCTCTGGGCTGACAGCCTGGAGCCCGCTTCGGATTCTGTGTCTCCCTCTGTCTGCCCTCCGCTGCTTGCACTCTGTCTCTCGCATTGTCTCAAAAATAAATAAATATTTTTTAAAAATTAAAAAAAAAAAAAAAAAAAAGAGTTGGATGCTTAACTGACTGAGCCACCTAGGTGGCCCAAGATTTTGAGTCTTTAACAAATTCAGTGTTCTATTCCCATGAGTATTTCCCTAGGCATAATTTCACTGGTACACATAATTATGTGATTAAAATGTGAGATACAGAAATCACAAAACAGGGCACCTGGGTGGCTCAACTGGTTAAGCGTCTGACTTCAGCTCAGGTCATGATCTCACGGTTTGTGGGCTCAAGCCCTGCATCAGGCTCCATGCTGATGGTGCAGAGCCTGCTTGGGATTCTCTCTCCCTCCCTCCCTCTCTCTCTCTCTCTCTGCCCCTACCCTATCTCTTTCAAAATAAATAAATAAACCTTAAAAAAAATCACAAAACAGAAAAACATATGATATAAAATTCTAATCACAGGCATAAGACACTTTTCCTTCATGTTATAGACAATTCTGGATATATTCATATTAAGAGTCTAGTCTGCAATTCTAGAAATTATCAAATGTATTTGTTAACTTCCATGAAGGATTATAAAGCATATAACTTCGCATCCAATCTGTGAATTTGCAGATAATGAAGCATCCTTGAATCCAATTACCATTAAAAAAAAAAAAAAAAAAAAAAAAAAAAAAAAACTACTACAAATTTTAGCATAAATGATGCATCATTGCTTTCTTCTTAAGGCAACTGAGAAAAAATGCTTTAATAAAACAAACGGAAACTGAGTTTACACTTAACTCAATGTAAACTATATTAGTCTCAAAGACAGAAATGTCTTTCTCCCATTACTACCTCAGTTTGGGTAGCATGTATCTATGACCTGTCCTCATACAATACAACTTCTAATGGCACGACTGCTTCCCGTCTCCTATCCCTCCAATCCAACTTTCACAATGCAGCTTGAGACCTTTTTCTAAAATGTAAACCTTATCATATTTTGTTCTTCTGCTTAAAATCCTATCCACTGCCTACTACTTAGCCTGCCGTAGGAGGCTTGCTATAATCTGGCCTCTATGTGCCCTCTAATTTCATTTCCTGCCATCTTCTCTTCCTACTTGCTTAGTGCCCTAAACCCAAATATACGTAGATCCCAGTTTTAAAGTCTATGCCTTTGTAGATGCTGCTTGTTACATGTGGCACATCCCTCCTCAGCCCTGCCTTTTAAAACACAAATCAAACCATCTTTGCTATGATCTGAAAGAACTAACCACTCACGCCTTTATATTCTCACTATATTTTATACACAATTCCAACACAGAAATACTGTATAGTGGTTAAGGATATGCACAAAACAGACTGAATTCTAACTCCAGCACTACCATTCACTAAAATTATGAGGCTAAGCAAGTTGCTTATCTTTACTGAGCCTCAGAAAACCACAGCTCATAAAAGACACGGGTAATACCATACATCCCTTAGAGTTTTTATGAAGGTTAAGTGAAATAATAAATATAAAACATTTAGCATAGTGCTTAATATTAGTGTAAATACCCAATAAATGGTAGCTAAAAAGAAAAATGCTCATAAAATTACATTGCACTCACTTTTTTTTACATATTTACTTCAGTTTGGGTTATAAGTTTCTTTGTTAATTTTTTTTGATGTTTGTTTATTTTTGAGAGAGAGAGACAGAATGCAAGTGGGTTGGGGGAGAGAGAGGGAGGCACAGAATCCAAAGCAGGCTCCAGGCTCCAAGCTGTCAGCACAGAGCCTGACGCGGGGCTCGAACTCACAAGCTGTGAGATCATGACTTGAGCCGAAGTTGGACGCTCAACTGACTGAGCCACCCAGGCGCCCTGGTTATAAGTTTCTTAAAGCCAGACACTGAATTCATCTTTAGATCTTAAAAGTTCAGCACAATTCTTGGCATGGAGAAGACACTCAAAAAATATAAACAATGGATGGTTCAACACCTCTTACAAGCGATTACAAAAATGAAAAGCTGTTGACTCTCAGAAAATCTTCAAGAGCAGCTTTGCTCAAACTAGCATTTGTTAAATAAGTGAGATGAAAAAACAGAACGTGTTCTATGTTCAAATAACTGGTCAAAGAGTAGGATAAAACAAAAGTAAACTAAGTTTTTTCTAATAAGATTTTTCAAGTATATGATCAATCTCCAAAATGGATATACAGAATATAGCATTTCCCCAAACTCCGTTAACCACAGAACACTTTTTATCATGATATATCACTGTTTCAAGAAATATTCCTCCAAAAAACTGTTTTATTGAGTATTTGTCATACTGAGTTTCTTGAGGAAAAACAATAATACCTATTTTCTTATTAGAGAATTTTTACTGTTGGATCTTCCAACTACTGGAAGGAAGTTCCAACAGTAAAAACTCAACCTAATGTTATCAAGTTTAAATTTGGAAAGAGAATAAATATGACAAACATAATGCCACAAAGACTCAGTTAACTAACATGTATCTAGGACATGCTATTAAATATATCAGTGAGATTAAATTCAATTATTTCCTATATATTTAATAATAACAGTAAAAAGAAAATAAGTATATGATCTAGCCCCTGCCAAGAAAATAAAGTCTAGTTCAGTAAACAAACATACTGGAAAAACGTTAGTGTTACAAAAGGCAAACACTAAAAAAAATAAGGGTCCTAAGAGACTTTATAACCAATGCAAGGCATGAACCTTGATCCAGATTTAAGTTTTTTAAAAGGCTAAACAAAATATTTTTGAGAAAGCTGGGAAAATTTGAATGAGTTATACAGTACATAAATTATTGATAATTTTCCCAGGTAGGTTTATAATTACATAAATACATAGCTACATTGATACCTATGTCAATGTGCCTTCACAAAAGACAGGCAACAGGTGTCAACGGGTGTGGCAAAATTGGTAATTGGTGAATTCAGGTGGAGAGTATAGAGTATACATGATTTCACTTTACCATTCTTTCAATTCCTCTCTAGCTTGAAATTATTCAAAATAAAAAGTCAAGGGGAATACAAATGATAGGTGAATTTTATGAGGTCAGATATCACAAATAAGTATTAAAGTAATAAGTTATGACCATGTACTAGCTGGCTAAACTAGAAAAAAAATTCTATAGTGCATAATCTCACAAATAAAAGCATTTTTTGTGTCAGTGTTAACATTTAGTACAATTAAGGCAACTGATACTGTTTATGCCACTTTCCCTTTTCTTCTCCCAGTTCTTTCCCTCAGACTTTACGGACCTTAATTACTTTCACTAGGTAGGTCTTTGAAGGAAAAAGGACTATGCATGCTATGCATATAGGTAGTTTCTTTTTTCTCCTTCTGAAGTAAACATTTCATTTTTTTGGTTTGTTTTCTTGCTAGAATTACATTTAAAAAATAAACAAAAAAATGTTAACCATAATTCTGTTTAATCTCTCCTTCCAAAAAAGTGGGATAATCCAAGTTTAAACAGTTTCATTTACTGAAGTCAATTCATTAGTAAAACTTCCCACCACAACGATTCCTACTTATAATATATGATTCCTCACTCATACTACTGGGATGACATAATCAAAACATTTGAATCCTAGCTGAGAATTGCACCTCCTCTTCCTTTGAAAATGAGTAATTTTTAAATTTAATTCAAGACTATCCTTCTCAATTAACCACTGAAATGACAAAAGGAACAAAAAAGGAATTTTAGTTCATAGCACAGTTACAAGTAGATACAGTCCATGCATTTACTCTCACCTTTGCAGTATAGTGAAGAAGGATGTTACCAGACAGGTCAGCCATGTCAGACTCTTGAAATTTCCAAGGGCTTAAACAGTTTGGACCTGAAAATTATTTACACACACGTACATAAACATCACTGAATATTTTTGGCCTCCTTGATTCTGTGTAATCAGAACAAAATTTAAAATTAAGTTGTTTCTCCCTCAGGCAAGTTCAAAAAGATCGAAATCATACTATGCATATTTTCAGACACAATGCTATGAAACTTGAAATCAATCGGAAGAAAAAATTTGGAAAGAAAATGAAAACTTGGAGATTAAAGAACATCCTACCGAAGAATGAATGGCCAAGACATTAAAGAGGAAATAAAAAAGTACATGGAAGCCAGTGAAAATGATAACACGACAGCCCAAAGCCTCTGGAATGCAGCAAACGCGGTCAGAAGAGGGAAGTATATAGCAATACAGGCCTTCCTAAAGAAGGAAGAAAGGTCTCACATATACAACCTAACCTTACACCTTAAAGAGCTGGAAAAAGAACAGCAAATAAAACCCCAAACCAGCAGAAGATGGGAAATTATAATAAAGATTAGAGCAGAAATTAATTCTATTGAAATAAAAAAAAACAGAAGAGATCAATGAAACCAGGAGCTGGTTCTTTGAAAGAATTAACAAAATTGATTAACCCCTAGCCAGTCTGATCAAAAAGAAAAAGGAAATGACCCAAATAAAATAAAAAATGAAAGAGGAGAGATCACAACCAATACTGCAGAAATACAAACAATAATAAGAGAATATTATAAGCAATTATATTCCAACAAATTGGGCAATCTGGAAGAAACGGAAAATACCTAGAAAAATACAAACTACCAAAACTGAAAACAGGAAGAAATAGAGAATTTGAACAGACTGATAACCAGTAAAGAATTAGTAATCAAAAACCTCCCCAAAAACAAGGTCCAGAGCCAGATGGCTTTCCAAGGGAATTCTACCAAACATTTAAAGAAGTGTTAACTTCTATTCTTTTGAAGCTGTTCCAAAAAATAGAAATGGAAGGAACTTCCAAACTCATTCTATGAGGCCAGCATTACCTTGATTTCAAAACCAGACAAAGACCCCACTAAAAAGCAGAACTATAGATAAATTTCCCTGATAAACATGGATGCAAAAATTCTCAACAAGATAGTAGCCAACTGGATCCAATAATGCATTAAAATAATTATTCACCATAATCAAGTGGCATTTATATGGGATGCAGGGCTGGTTCAGTATCTGCAAACAAATCAGAGATATATGATACTAATAAAAGAAAGGACAGAACCACATGATTCTCTCAATAGATGCAGAGAGAGCATTTGACAAAATACAGCATCGTTTCTTGATAAAAACCCTCAAGGAAGTAGGGATAGAAGGATTATAACTCAAGATCCTAAAAGCCACATACAAAAGACCCACCACACTAATATCCTCAATGGGGAAAAACTGAGAGCTAAGGTCAGGAACAAGACAGGGATGTCCACTCTTGCCACTGTTATTCAACATAGTATTAGAAATTCTAGCATCAACAATCAGACAACACAAAGAAATAAAAGGCATCCAAATCGGCAAGGAGGAAGTCAAACTTTCACTCTTCACAGATGACATGACACTCTATATGGAAAACCCAAAAGATTCCATCAAACACCTGCTAAAACTGATCCATGAATTCAGCAAAGTGGCAGGATATAAAATCAATGCACAGAAATCAGTGCACCAATAATGAAACAGCAGAAAGGGAAACCATGGAATCGATCCCACTTACAATTTCACCAAAAAACCATAAAATACCTAGAAATAAACCTAACCAAAGAGGTGAAAAACTTACATACTGAAAACTATACAAAGCTTATGAAAGAAATTGAAGAAGACACAAAAAAATGGAAAAATATTACATGTTCCTGGACAGGAAGAACAAATATTGTTAAAATGTCAATACTACCCAAAGCAATCTACATATTCAATGCAATCCCTATTAAAATAATACCAGTATTCTTCATAAAGCTAGATCAAATAATCCTAAAATTTGTATGGAACCAGAAAAGACCCCGAATCAAAGCAATCCTGAAAAAAAAAAAAAAAAAACCCAAAGCTGGAGGCATCGCAATTCTGGACATCAAGATGTATTACAAAGCTGTAATCATCAAGACAGTACGGTACTGGCACAAAAACAGACACATAGGTCAATGGAACAGAAGAAAATACTTAGAAATGGACCCACAAACGTATGGCCAACTAAGCTTTGAGCAAAGAATATCCAATAGAATAAAGACAGTCTCTTCAACAAATGGTGATGGAAAAACTGGAAGGCGACATGAAGAAGAATGAACCTGGACCACTTTCTTACACCATACACAAAAATAAACTCAAAATGGATGAAAGACCTAAATATAAGACAGGAAACCATCAAAATCCTCAAGGAGAAGGCAAGCAAAAACCTCTTCGACCTCTCCTGCAGCAACTTCTTACTCAATACGTTCTCCAGAGGCAAGGGAAACAAAAGCAAAAATGAAGTACTGGGATCTCAGCAAGATAAAAAGCTTCTGCATGGCAAAGGAAACAATCAGCAAAACTAAAAGGCAACCGAAGGAATGGGAGAAGATATTTGCAAATGACATATCAAATAAAGAGTTAGTAGCCAAAATCAACAATGAACTTACCAAACTCAACACACACAAAAAAGCAATCCAGTGAAGAAATGGGCAAAGGACATGAATAGACACTTTTCTAAAGAAGACATCCAGATACGGGCGCCTGGTGGCTCAGTCGGCTGACTTCGGCTCAGGTCATGATCTCACGGTCTGTGAGTT